AGTTACAAAAAGATAAACATGGTATGTACTCTCTCATATATGGATTTTAGACACAGATTTGGAGAGTGCCAGCCTACATTCCCATGGCCAGAGAGTCTGGGAAACAGAACCTTCATTCAGTGGCTGATGGAAGAAGAGGCAGACTCCCACGGCTAAGCACTGAGCTGAACTCAAGAAATCCAGTGACAGAGAGGGAGGACTGATGGCCAAAGGGGTATGACTGGGCTGGTTTAACCCACAGAAACAGCTGACCTGACAAGGGTTAGCTCTTGAATCCCAGACTGATTCCTGGGAACCCAACATGGGACTGATCAAGACCCCCTGAATGAGGGTGTCAGTGCGGAGGCCCAGTATTGAGCCTTGGGTAGTAGAACAGTATTTATCCCGGGTATACAAATGGACTTTGGGCTCCCATCCAACAATGAGAGATGCACTGTCACCCTGGATTCTTGGGGCAGGGTTTAGGCCCTGCCCTGAACGAAATGACAGACTATGGACACCCCCATGGAGGACCTTACCCTCCCTGGGGAAATGAGGGGATATTGGGATGTTGGTGGGAGGGCACGGGAGGAGGGGAGGGAAAAGGAAAAGGACCTGGAATTGACATGTGAAGCAACATTGTTTCTAATTTAAATTTAAAAATAAATAAATAAATAAAATAGCAAAAGAGACAGCAAGAACCAAAGGACCAGAGCACTCAGATGTGAAATAGTGTCTCCTATATATGACAGGGAAGTTGAACCCATGAAATTTCAAAAATATCCTTGCACAAACAAGTCCTGCACTGTGATACCACCTGTTGTTTTATATGTATGCAACAATGGTAATTAAAAACATGTGGTGCCGGGCGGTGGTGGCACACGCCTTTAATCCCAGCACTTGGCAGGCAGAGGCAGGCAGATCTCTGTGAGTTCGGGTCCAGCCTGGACCGATAGCCTCCAAAACAATACAGAGAAACCCTGTCTCGTAAAACCCAAAAAAATAAAAAATAAAAAAAAGTAAAAGCATGTGGCCATGAATATGAAAGTATCAGAAGAGTGACTCTAGATGAACTCAGAATGGGAGATGGAAGGTAAGAAAGTATATACATGCTTATGAAATACCAGTTTCAAAACAATAAAAAATTGAATTAAAATATGTGTGGGACTTAATGTATAGAAGGCCTCAGTGTTCTGGCCTACTGCATGCCCAATTATGAGCTTTCAATATGTTTCATACTCGTGGTGGTTTGAATAGATATGGCCCCCACAGTCTCATGTGCTTGAATGTTTGACCCACAGAGAGTAGTACTATTTGGAGGTGTGGCCTTGTTGGAGGAAGTGTGTCATATCTTTAAACAATGCCCAGAATGGCATATAGTCAACTTCTGCTGCTTGAGAATCAAGATGTAGAACTCTGAGTTCCTTATCCAATACCGTATCTGACTGCATGAAGCCATACTTCTTACTGACAATAATAGACTAATCTTCTGAAACTATAAACCTGCCCCAATTAAATGCTTTCCTTTATAAGAGTTTTCATGTGTCTTCACAGCAATAGAAACCCAAACTAACACTCACCATGGAACTTCTACCTGAGGGTTCAGCCTTGATTAAAAGAACTATATATCTATAAACAATTCTTCACTTCACAACGCATCTAGATTATAAGGCAAGTATAAGAAATTGTTTTCCATTGATATTAGAATTGCTGAAAAATCAAACCTTCAAGCCAACTTTCACCCTTATGAAGACACACAGAAAAACATAAAAGTTTATTATAACAATGTTTCTACACAATGCAATGTTTTCTCTCAGCACAAGATCAGCAATCCCAACATTCTGCCATGGATTAAATGGATCAAAGTAAGAAATCTACTAGCGAAGTAACATTAAAATACACGAATAAATATCAATTGAAAATACGATGATAATGATTTGGAGATAAGTTTTGAGGCAATCTCCATGCCCAGTTACAACTGAGTTCCTGTGTATGATCTCTCTTCCCTTTCTGTGGGAAGATCCTGTTAATAGGACTATGAACCTTTGATTCAGTAACTCTTTTAAAAATAGAAGTCCATAACTGCAAATTAGCCTCTGTGTCATTCTTAGAATAATAATAAAATAATCATAGTTTCATATATTGTTCAAGTTTTGATACATGACAAAACTATTTAAGTGCTTTTAATGCATATTTTCTTTTAATTCTACAATGACCCCTGTTCAAATATCAAATCTTCTGGAACGCCATATGTATCTATCCAGAGGTTACAAAGAGAAAACTTTCCTGGCTTTCTCTTTAAAGTCATTCATTATCCTCCATAGATTATGACAACAATATATTCATCCATTTATGAGTTCTTTAATATAATAGATGTGGCACAAGCATGATGTTGTATAGGGAGAGATCTCAGGTATCTGCAACACTGACCAAACAGGCATGGTCACAGGTACTTGGGGGAGGAGAGATAAACAGAAAGGAAAAGGGGTGCTGGCTCTTTTGGGGGCTGTGATAGAGGTTGTGTGGAACAGAGCGCCTACCTCAGTTCTCGGCTTCTCATGTAAGTGACTTCTGTCTCTAATAAATTATCATATGACCCCTCTCCCCAGTATGTTTGACATGGCTCGTTTACCAATATCAATGTTGTTTTGTGGTCATACCAGTTCCAAGAGAAGTATCAGAAAAATTTTTTTCAGTCAGGAAAGATTGAATGGGCCCACAGTAGAAAAGTCAAAAATCTACTTGATAGGCAAGAATTATTTCATTAATAAAAAGGATAAGATATGCTGGAAGCATATTTTTCTGTTTTATATATGTCTTTTTTATTTTTAAATTTTAATTAGAAACAAGGTTGCTTCACATGTGAATCCCAAGTCCCTCTCCCTCTTCCTCCCCTCTTCCCATGCCTTCCCTCTAACCCTCTGTACCCCCTTCCTGCATCCCCACTCCTTTCCCCAGGGAAGATGAGGCCCTCCATGGGGGTATCCACTGTCTGCCATTTCATCCAGGGCAGAAACTAGGTCCTCCCCCAAGAATCCAGGATGAGTGAGCATCTCTCATTGTGGCGTGGGCACCCAAAGTCCATTTGTACGCCAGGGATAAATATTGATCTACTAACCAAGGCCCCAAAGACTACCTAGGCCTCCTTATTGACACACACATTCAGGGGATCTGGCTCAGTCTCATGATGGCCTCCCGGCCATCAGTCTGGGGTTAAAGAGCTACCTCTTGTTCAGGTCAGCTGTTTCTGTGGGTTAAACAAGCCTGGTCTTGACCCCTATGCTCATCTTTCCTACCTCTCTGTCACTGGGCTCATTGAGTCCACCTCAGTGTTTAGCTGTGAAGAAGACCAGGTATCTGGGGTGCTTAGGCTCCCGACAGGTGGAGAAGCCCCTATTTTTGTGTTTTTTTCTTAGTTTTTATTTTGATGTTGTGGCACATGTGGCTGAAACTTGTTTTCAAAAGTGATTGCTAGTACATTGTATCACAAACTCAAAATCATGCAATGTCTCATTTCATTCAAGGAGGAAAAATCTTTATAAGTGTCACAAAATCACTAGACTAGGCTGTTGTAACTGTGACCTATCCAATATATGCCACAGTCTTACTTATTTCACTTGAGACAAACACCCTTTTTGGAAACAACCATTTGGATGATGCTACCACATCAGCTATCCCACGATAAGAGAATAAGTATCTTTGGCTGTCTTCCTCACCTATTCCTCTTTAATCACTCCATCTTTATGGTTTCAATAAAGAATGCTACTTGTTGTTTTGATACTAGGTTTTGATGTAATACATTCTTTGATGTCTTTTTCCAACAGTATTAATTTAACTATTAAACTTTTGTAAGTACTCATCTATATTAACTTTATTTTCAGTAAGAATCATCAACAAATAGGTTTTGGTGGAATGTGTGACACAGATTCTTTCATCAAAATATAACATTCAATGAATTTAAAGAAATTTGTGAAAATAATTTACATTTGGTCATACTAATAGTACATTGATAAAAGCAAGGAAATTATATTCCTGTACATGTGTGTGTGTATGAGAGAGAGGGGGGAGAGAGTGGGAGAGAGAGAGAGAGTGGGAGAGAGAGAGAGAGAGAGAGAGAGAGAGAGAGAGAGAGAGAGAGAGAGAGAGAGAGAGAGAGAGAGAGAGAGAGAAAGTTCATACATAGTATGGTATATATGAACAGTAGAAGCCTACATGCCTTTTTTTTCTCAATCAATTTCCACCGATTTTGTGAGACACAAGCTCTCCCTGAATCTGGATGTCATTTCCTCAGCCCTAGAACTACTGGTGCAGACAGAGGTGCTTTATCAGCAGTGTCATCTACTGAATTCCCATCCTTCTGCTTGGGAAGACTCTAATGAATGTGTCTACTATATACTAAAGGGATTTTTCATTATGTGTGTTGTTATTTGTATATTATATATCTGTCTATATCTATGTGTTTCAGAAAGAAGTTTCTGGAAATAAATGGGAAAAGATAAAGAGATGAAATTGATGCAAAAATACAATAGGAAAAAATAATATAGATTATCTATTATTATACTTTGGAAGCATATATATGACATAGCTGCTCTAAATAAAAGTTTGTGTCTAACAAAATTCCTGTACCATGCCACTGTAGTCCTTCAAGCTTTCTTCTGGTCTCTGTGGTATTACAGTTCAAAAGGCCAAAACATCAAAACTATCATCAATAAAAGAATCTTGTTATACCTCCACACTTCATGCTCTACTACTTGTAAAACTTTTACCTGCATCACCCATCAATTTACATATGAGAAAATGAGTGTAAAAAATTAAGTTAACTAAGTTATAACAGTACAAATGCATAAAATTCACTATTTTGCTCTTTTTCATGAAAGCAAATTTATATTGGGACATTAAAAAATTTAGGTCCAAAATCATTAAGGTAGATGTTATTCCTTTACCACTTTACAAAAGTATAGAATATGAAGCTACTTTCCTTCAATGTCCAGCACAAAAGCATCCACGTTTAAATATCTTACCAGTTATTTTTGTCATCACAAAAGAGAAGATTGGCAAAAAATGAAACAGGTTTAGATGAATTGAAACTAAGATGACATGGTAGCACATCATTAATTCCAGTATCAGAGGCTGTGATAACTCTTCCTTTGGGGAATGTCACAGTAAGTGGGTGAATCTCATCATCATCAAGAAGTTTAGCAGTGGGAATTTTGAATTGTAGAGTTGAATTTCTGTTTAACATAAAAATTAAAATATATTTTGCTCAAGATATCAGCAACTGATTTGAATTGAAAGAGTATTTATTTTTACAAAAAGCAAACGTATGCAATACTAGGTTTAATACTTAAACATATATTTGTATCATCTCTTTTTGTCTGTCCCCTTTGTTCTGTAAGAATTAAGAGAGGTAAAATATCTGAATAAAGGCATTTTTAATTACATAAGATTATTCCCCTCATTCACATCCTAACAAAGATTTATTCAAAATGATCAGATAACATTTAAAAAGGTAATGTATACACATTAAATTATATTGATAGATTATAACATGAAGAACTTTAAAATTTTGGATACTAATCACCACCTCCAGATAATCATTACATTATTAAACATTTAGAATGTTAAATGTTTACATTATAAAGCTATTAAAAACATTTAGTATGCTAAATGTTTATTTCATATATGAAACTTATTTAAACAAATCAAATGTATATAGTATCATTTTAAAATTAATATCCTACTTAGAATACTGTTGTCAATAAATTTTGAAACAATAGCTTCTTGTATTTTATCATAAACGTGAAAACATAGCAAATAAGTATTATTAAATGGGAATCACAGTCTCTTATTTTATTAAGTGTGAACATCACTCTGGTAATAAAATAGGAAAAATGACTTCCATCTGAATTAATTATATCTATATGGTACACTAGACAAAATATGAGAAGTTACATTATAAGTCCAGTAAAAATCATTTTAGTTCTAATTTACTAAATATTTCATTTATGCTGCTGATTTCATTATATGTATACAGCAAGGAAGCTAAAGGTCATCATCTCTTCAACTCTTTTCAGAGTTATCATGTCATAATTTGAGTTCAAGTAGTTTTTATATAGATATCACTATACATTAGAGTTGACAAGTTAAAAGATTAATTATTATATTAAGAGAAGATCCAAAATAGCAATATTTTGTAGCAAAATCAATTCCAGTTTACTTTATTTGAAAATTAATAGAAGTTAATGCCTGCTTATAAAATATACACTTGACAGAACTGCAGATTGCAAGAGTATGTTGAATCTTCAAGTACTAAGGTCTTCTCAACCTGAACAACACTTTATGCAAGCCCTGTGGCATCATCCATGATAAGTTCCACATCTAACACGATAAATAACTGTGACACTGTCTTCCTCAATTTGGATATTTCACAAACAGTGTTAGTATATAATTTTTGGTAGGATAATCCATGTATACAGGCTTCCTAGATTTAACTCAGTATTTTGTTTCTGATATTCCAAATACCACTGTCTTACTAGCTGAAGTTCATTTATAACCATAATACTCATGTCCAAATAAACAGCAAGTTATTAATGCCTTCACTTGTCACAAGAAGCATGTACAATTCCCAGATTTTACTATACTAAAAACATTACTATGGATAATGTTAAGCATAGGTTATAGTACACATGTAAGATTGTATTTCAAGAATATATTATTGAGACAGTCAAAACCACCGTGAGGACACCGAGAGTATTACCCTATATAATCTGCTCCACATTGAAAGTTACAATGAATATTTTCCTCTATCTTCCATTTTCCTACTCCCCCAAACATTATTAGACTCAAACAACAGGTATACAGTGGTCAGTGGAGATAGCTAAGTAGTTAAAATCAAAAGCTGTTCTTTCAGAAGACCAGAACTCATTTCTAAAGACCCATATCAAGTGGCTTACAACCAACCACGATGTTCCAGGGCATCTGGCATGATTTTAGCTTCTAAAGATACCTACATACATATGTACAGGAAAATGTATAACACATACATATACTGTATATATACACATAAGTATATGTGTGTGGTTACATGTATTATACACACACACACACACACAAACATACCCATAAAATAAAACTAAAAATTGGGTGTACTGTTATCAGTTACACAGCTATCATGTTAATATATTAAATGAAAGAAAGGATCTTGCAGATCATGAAAAGCCACACTGCAAAGAAAACCATGGAGCTTTAAACTTGTTTTTAAAAGTATAGAGTACTTCTTCTGGACAACACTTCTTCCAAGTGATCACTTAGCAGCTATAGCTGGTCCACTCTTATCATTGTGGCTAGTTTCAATGTCAATGTACCACAAGCTAGGGTCATCTGGGGAAAAGGGAATATTAAACTAGAAAATGCCTCAAAAGTTTGTACTGTAGGAATTTTCTTAACTGTTGCCTGATATTGGAATTCAGCTAACTGTAGGTAGTACCACCAAAAATGAGTTGGTCCTGAGTGGTATAAGAAATAAGGTTGAGAGATGCCCCTGCCCAATCACAGACCATGCTTGCCAGAAGATCAGACCAGTGTCTAGACCAGTCACCATCAGAAAGGCTTCCTCCAGCAGCTGATGGGAGCAGATGCAGAGACCCACCCAAACATTAGGTGGAGCTCAGTTAATCCTGTGGAAGAGGAGGAGGCAGGAGTATCATAGAAGCCACAGGGGTCAAGGACACTAAGATAACATGGCCCACAGCATCAAATAATCAGGGTACATAGGGGATTACAGAGACTAAAATGACAAACACGGACTCTCTATGCGTCTGAACTAGATCCTTTGCATATATCTTATGGGTGTCCGTTTTCTTGTGAGACTCCCAACAGTGGGTCTAAGACTTTTGCCTGTCCTTGGAACACTTTTCCTCCTACTGAGTGGCCTTGTCTAGCTTGGATATAAGGGTTTGTGCCTAGTGTTATTACATCTTGTTATACCACCTTAGGTTGATATTCATGATTAGCCTGTTATTTTCTGAAGGGAAAGTGAGGAGGTCTGGATGATAGAGGATGCGGAGTGAGGAACGGGGAAGAGTGCAGGAAGGGGAGACTGAGGTCAAGATGTATTGTATGATAGAAGAATTTAAAAAAAGCCTGAGCAAGCCACGGTGAGGAAGCCAGTAAGCAACATTCCTCAACCACATCTGAATTGTATCCTGCCTCCAAGTTATTTTCTTCCCACCCTCTCTTCCCTGTATGATGGATAGCAAGCTGTAAATGAAAATAACCATTTCCTCTAAGTTGATTTTGGTCATAGTGTTATCACCTAATTAATAGAGATATTTGAATAGGAGAGGGACATAGTTCCCAGCCCTCAATGACAAGATATAAAACAAACAAACAAAAAAATTTGTCAAACATTACAGATAAAGAAAATCAGCACCTCCAGGTTTATTAAAACTATAAATAAAATTTAACTCTGATATATAATATGTGTATGTATTTATATATATATTATTTTTATATATATTAAATTTATACATATATATGTGTGTGTGTTACTGAAAAGAAACCACATAAAACATAAATAAATTTAAAGATACAAAGATTTACTAGATCTTTCTAGTAATCAAAAATATAATCTGGTTTACCTTAGTAATAACAAAAGGATCAATTCATTAGACAATGTTAAACATTCTATTTGCCAAACAAGTAAAACAAGTTATTTGAAATAAAGGTTAGAAATTCACCATTACAGCACCTATTTTAATAACTCTCTTTCAGTGATGAACACAAAGAAATAAAAACATGATAAAGAGCTCTCATTTACTTAGGGTGACATTTTAAATGACACAAACAAAGCACTGGGTGTAAATGTCTATGACTCACCTGCCTCACTCCTGATGTAGTTATCAGTGGAAATATGTACATATTACCGTATAATGTATAGAAAGATATAGAAAGACGCTGATAGCCTTGTTGCACATTATAGCCAAGACAAGGAGTACTATGGATAAAAATAATAGCTGGGAATGTGGTACCTACTTTTGACTTCAGTACTCTGAATTCTAAGTTGGCTGATCTCTGAGTTCAGTACCAGTCGTGGCCACACAGTGAGTTAAGTTTTATAAAACACTTTTATTGTAGCTTTTGATGTTTTATTATTTGTTTTAAAACACTAATTATATATGTACTATATTGATATTCTGTTTTTAATCTTTTCATATACTGTAGCTATTTATTATTTTTGACAATATTTGTATTATGCTATTTGATTATATTTTCAAGAGACCACTCTATGCATTCTATACTGACCTCTACCAAACAAACCTCCTAAGCATCCTCCTAAATTCTGGGATTACATCCATATACTACCATGTTCAGTATTTATATTTCTCTGAATTTTATTAAATATATATTTGTTGTGACCACAGCCAAAATGAAGGTGAGTAACTTTATTAATTACAAATATAATATAGTTTATGAAATAAAATGCTGACAAGATATAAATATTATCAAAAATCTGTAAGAGTTACAATCACTTGAAAGCTTTTTAAATTCTAAACCATACTCACAATTAAGATATTCTTAAAATATATAAATCCTAATGTAAACTAAAAGGAAAAATATGACTATCCCTTCCACACAATAAACTATCACATACATATTTGACCTGAAGATAAATACTGAGAAAAAAATGTGGCCAGAATCAAAAACCATTGTCTTAGTTTTATAATTACATGTAAATTAATTCTGACAGCAAACTATGATACTGGAGGAAAAATCAAGAAGTAAGAATTTGATTCTACAACTAATATATAATTTTCTGGTGTTCAGATACTGAAGAAAAGATGTAGTGAAACCAATCTAGACTGCTCATTCATATAAACTCAAAGACAATAAATTAATGTTGTTAGAGATATCAAATAAATGTTTTAAGCCACAAAATTTGTGTTAATTTTTACAGTGAAATTGTAAGCTTACTTCTTATTCCATGAAGACAGTTTTTTAATATCAAGAAAATAAATAACTACTATGGTTATTTTGTACTTTCTAAAATGTCAATGTATAATGACAAAAATTAATAGTTCTTCAAAACTATAGCAGGAAGTCAGGCATAGGATATAATTTTCACATAACATAGAGACAAACAAAATTGCATATAAAGAAGATGTAGAAAATTCATATTAAGGATTTACCTGAAATAGTTCTGTGGCAAAATTCTGATATCCACCCCAGCTGTGATATCCAAAGGAACAGGAGTAAAACATATAAACGGTGGATCAAAAAGTATCTGTGGTGATTGTATCTCTCCAATAAGACTTAATATTCTATAGTCAAATAAATTATCATTTAAACGTATAGCAACGTCACCTCGGTAGGTTATGGGCTTTTCTATGGAAAAAAGGTGCTACATATTAGTCTACATTCATTTCAAAGTGTATATATTATAAGAATTACTACTAAAATGTACTATGATCCTGAAGCTCATTGGGGCAGAATAGTTAACCCAAGAACAATGAAGCCAGATGAAGTTAGATTAAATGAAGAATTATTGAAAACAACAAAAACAAAAGGGTAACATGGCTTCAAGTATGCTTTCTCTAGAGATGGAAAACAATCATTTTAATATATAATGTATGAGGCGAGCGTGATATCCACTACACTACGGAAACACTACAGAACTGACTTGTGAACCAACCATGTTTCTAATCTAAATTTAAACTTAAAAATAAAAAAATTAATAAAAAAAGAAAAAATATATATAATGTAGCAGAGGGTATAATGCACACTTGGGAGGGAATGTTTACTACATGGAGAAATAAATAATACATGGAAGCAGTATGATGGGACTTCATTTGTTCAGCTGTTGCCAATGCTTTATATGGAAGCTGCTAATACATTTTGGTATATATAACATGAAGATGACATCACAAACTGCCAGAAGGATATTAAGGGACTACTGAGAAAGAGGTTTGCTGAGTGAAACTCTCCCAGCTTTGAAGATTAAGAAAGGCTGTCAGGGCACTGGAGAGATGGCTCAGTAGTTTGGACCCACGCTCTACTCCCTGTCCCTACATGGAAGCTCACAATCATCTGTACCTCCAGTTATGAAGGACCCACCATGTACTTCTGGCATCGGCAGGCTCCAGACATACAGAAGGAATAATATACACACATATATGAAGGCAAAACACTAATACACATAAGATTAAAATTTACAGTTTTTAAAACTACAAAAATACTTACTTGGACAGAAATGTATGGAAATAGTATACCTCTCATTTGGTTTCAGACATCCAATCAGTGCAGTAAATTTGAATATGCCACTTTTGAAAAGTTTGTCAATTTTAGCAATATCCAAAGACCACTGAACATCTTTTTTTGAAATATTATATAAGACAAGGTCCTATTCATACATATACAAAAGAAGACATTTTTAGAATTTAATAAATGCATTATAAAATTTAGTTGTTAAGGACAAGATCAAAGCATATGATTATGGTGATATTAAGATGCCAAAAAGCCAACCTAAAAGGGCTCTTAGATAAATGTATTAATGATTTGCAGCAAAAATAATAATAAAATTTATGTTACTTTATACTGACATAGTAAAACAAAGAGAATAGTCTTATAGGAAAAAAAAATCTACATTGTATATGTGAATGTGTTCTTTAAATTCCCTAATCCTTTAAAGTTAATCACATCAATGTCAAAGTATTGGAGAATAGTAGAGACACCAGGTAGTTGCTATGAATCACTGTGATGCCACATAGGCACTTCATGTGATGTCAGATATCAACGCTGTAACATTTCCCCAGTAGACCCATAGAAAAGAAATGTGACTATCCTCTAAATGCTGAATAAGGCAATGTTAGCAACTTTCCCCTAAAGTCTCAGAAAGAATCATGGCTCCTGCTAATACCTTAATCATAATGGAGTAAAAACAGGTGACTTAGACACTCTGTCCCCTGGTCACATATATCAAAACAAATGAAAGAAATTTCAATAATGTAAAATAATCTACCACTTCAGAAGTGCATTTTCAAATCTGGAATGCGTTGAAAGTTGCTAAAGTAATTTTTTGTGTTCCACATACTAGATTTTTACACACAGGGTTTATTAAAAGAAATTTTACTGTCTTTTTATGCTCTGGATCTAAAAATTCCATCATAATTTAAGTAGAGATATTTATTTACTCACAATTTTAATGCCATACATTCTGCTTTTATCAATTCAATGTTAAATATTTTCCCTGTATGCTTTATCACCAATAATAAAGATATTCAAAAAAACTGATTGTAGGAGTAACAATACACCAGAGTAAAAGGCCAGGGAAATACAACTTCTTAATAGGTACATGTTATGTTCTTTCATATGCATTGTCTTTTTTTCTTCTTCACTATTGAGATTGCTTCTTGTTACATTTTCATATGTACATATGTGTATGCATATATATGGAAATATATTTGACACTAATTCAAGTTGTCTGTGTGTGCAGTTAAAAGTTACTGCATGTGTGCTTGAATTAAAAGAAACTCTAGGTAACTGTGAAGAGTCTCATTGGGTAAAAACACATGCAGCACAACCCTGGCAACTTAATTCAATCCCCTGAATTCAAAAGAGAAAAGAGAACCAATTGTACAAAGCTATCCTCTGACCTCTACACATACAGCATGAAATGCATTTCTACATAGACACATCAAGAACACATACTCAAAGCAATGAAATTTATTTATAAAGTTATTTTTAGGTGAGCACAAAAGATGGCTCAGTGGGTAGAGTGCTTATATAGGTAGCAAGGCAATACTACTTGAAATGTCCAGAATCTAACAAATGGCCAGATGTCATCATGTTCATCTCTAATCCTGTGTTACTACAGTGAGATAGAAGGTAATGATAGAAAAATCCCAAAAAGCCAATGGGCCACTTTACTAAGATTTAGCAGCTACAAGCACATACATTCAAACACATGGTACTCACACACACCATACATATAAAAAAATGTACTTCTGAAAATATTAATTATATTTATATATACCTAAAGTATATACTTATGTGTATCTGTAGGTACTATTCTCTATAAAATGCAGTATTGTTGCTCCAAATATTCTAAATAAATGTGACAAATTACTAATATGCAATAGTTCACTCTTTCAATTAATCAATTTAGTAAGTGAAAACCAAAAAAACTATAATGATTAGGAATTATAAATTATATTAATGATATACCTGAATTCTTGTTATCTCCTTACTATGTTGAATCTCATATAATGGGACTTTGAAGACAAATTCAGTGCTGGATAATTCCACTGGTGCTCGTAATACTTTAGAAGAAAAATAAAGATATTTGTAAATTATTAATAAAAAGAATGTGGACACTATTTAGTCTATTTTTCAAAATGAAATAAAAAAGAAATGTTTCTGTTTATTACTCCTAGTCAAAAAATAAAAATACATTTCAAACATTTCTAAGATACCTTGATTTCCATACTTAGAAATTTCCATTTTATAAAATTTATTGGCAATGAATTGCATGTAAAACAAAGCCATAAACATGGAATGATAAAATCATAAAATGTACTCAATATTGAAATAAAGGACAAGGTGTTTTAATATGATCTCTATACCAACCCATGCAGAAATGGAGAAGCAAATATATAAGAAGACAGAAAAATCACCCAAGTTCACGGATCAGTATGATTAACATAGTTAAAATGGCCATCTCACCAAAAGTAAGAGTCAGTTCAATCCCCATCAAAATTCCACCACAATTCTTTACAGATCTTGAAAGAACAATACTCAACTTCATATGAAAAAAAGAAACTATGATAACTAAAACAATCCTGTACAGAAAAAGAACTTGCAGAGATATTACCATCCCTAATTTCAAGCTCCACTATAAGGAAAGAGCAATAAAAATAGAATGGCATTGGCATAAAAACAGACAGGTTGATCAATGGAATTGAAGAAGTAAATCCACAAACCTAGGGACACTTGATTTTTGGCAAAGAAGAAAAAATTATATAATGGAAAAAAAGAAATCACCTTCAACAAATAGTGCTAGTCTAACTGGATGCCAAAAAATGTAGAAGAATTCACACTGATCCATATTTATTAACCGGTACAAAACTCAAGTCCAAATTGATCAAAGACCCCAATACAAATCCGGTTACAATGACCTTAATAGAACAGAATGTGGGAAAAAGCCTTGAACACATTGGTAATGGAGACAATTTCCTGAATAGAATATCACTAAAACAGACACTGAGAACAACAATTAATAAATGAGATCTCATGAAACTGAAAAGTTCCTGTAAGGCAAAGGACATTATCAATAAGAAAAAATCGGCATCCTACAGAATGGGAATAGATATTCACCAACTCCACATATGACAGAGGGCTCATCTCCAAAATAGATAAAGAACTCAAGAAACTAGACAAATAATACAATTAAAAATGGGGTACAAGGCCGGGCGTTGGTGGCGCACGCCTTTAATCCCAGCACTTGGGAGGCAGAGGCAGGCGGATCTCTGTGAGTTCGAGGCCAGCCTAGTCTACAAGAGCAAGTTCCAGGACAGGCTCCAAAGCAATACAGAGAAACCCTGTCTCGAAAAACCAAAAAAAAATGGGGTACAGAGCTAAACAGAGAATTCTCAACAGAAGACTCTCAAATGGGTGGGAAACACTTAAATGTTCAGCATCCCTAGCCATCAGGAAGCTAAGATTCCATCTCACACCAGTCTGAACGGCTAAGATTAAAAACACTAACGACAGGTTATGCTGCAGAGAATGTGGAGCAAAGTGAACACTTAATTACAAGTGGGAGTGCAAACTTACACAGCCACTTTGGAAGTCAATAGGCAGTTTCTCAGAAAAGTGGGAATTAATCTACCTCAAGACCCCGCCATACCACTCTTGGGCATACACTCAAAGAATGCTCAATTATTCTAAAAAGATACCTGCTCAGCTATGATCATAACAGTATTATTCATAATAGCCAGAGCCTGGAAAAAATTTAGATAACCCTCAAATGAAGAATGGCTAAAGAAAATGTGGCATACATACAAAATAGAGTATTACTCTCATTAAAAAAAAATAACGACATCAGGAAATTTAAAGACAAATGGATAGAACTAGAAAAAAATCATCTCCAGTGAGGTTACCCAGACCCAGAAAGACAAACTTGATATTGAACAATAGCTGTAATGTAAAGGCTAACCACGCTATAATCCACAGCCTCAGAGAGTCTAGGTAAGGAGGATTCAAAGGAAATTGGGATGCATGGATTTCCCTAGGAAGGGGAAACAGAAGAGACCTCCCAGGTAAACTGAGGGTTGGGGTGATAGGAACATGAGGAATTGTGTTGGGAGGGTGAATGGAGGCGAGATTAGGGAAAGAGAAATATTGAGAAGGGGGAATATTGGGCTCATGAAGAAACCTGGAATAAGGGGAGACTCCCACAAATCTATAAGGATGACCCCACCTGAGACTCCTAGTAATAGTGGATACATAGCCTAGACTTGCTATCTCCTGTAATCAAATTGGTAACTACCCAAATTGTCATCAGAGAGCCTTTATACAGTGACAAATGGAATGAGATACTGAGATTTGTATCTGGGCTGAGCCTGGGAATCCTGTTGAAGGAATGGAGGAAGGGTTGCATAAACCAGTGGAGGGGGGAGGGGTCAAGATCATAGCAGGGAAACCAAAAGAATCAGCTATCCTGGGCTCATAGGAGGTTACAGACTCTGAACCAACAAGGGAGTCTGCTTGGGACACCCTTAAGCCCTCTTCATGTGTGACAGTTGTATAGCTGTATCTACTTGTAGCACTGCTAGTGGTGGAAACAGGGCTTGCCCCTAATGCTTTGACTGGCTTCCAGGAACCTAATCCTCATAGTTGGCCAGTCTTAATACACGGGGAGAAGTTAAATCCTACCTCAACTTGATATGGCATTCTATGTTGACAACCACAAGAGGCCTGCCCCTTTCTGAACAGAAAAACAGGAGTGCATTAGGAGGGGTTGAGGAATGGGAGGAGATAAGGGAGGGGAAACTGTGGTGGAGACATAAAATAAATGAGTAAAACTAATAAATAAAAAGAAAACTGATTTTATTTTCTAATATTCAAAATTTTGAAAACTAAAAACGATACTTATTTTCCTTTACTTTTAGATGTTAAGTGTAAATCTTTGACCCACACGCATCAGTTGACTTTAATATTACATACCAGTAGCTTGAACAAAACACGGTGGAATAAGTGGTGATACTTTTGGCATCAAAACCTTTTTCTGTGACAAATATTCGCAGTAGAGTTCTGAAGCCTTGAAAGAATTAATAAGGACAGGAAAGCTAAAGTTATATGTTGCTACCTGTCAAAAAAAACAGGAAATTATAATTTTGAGGGCTTTGATCGTGCTGATTCACCAAAATGATTTTTTTCAAAATAAAATTTCCTTGGAGCATAGAAAATACATTTATTTAAGAAAATAAAGGATGTATTATTTATTAGGTCAAAAACAAATCTCTAAAACCTGCTTATATTAAAATATCCAACTATAAAAGTAAATATTTGGAAAAATACAGAAAGTCTTTGCAGTCTTTGGATAGGTTAGCATTTCTTAAATACTATATCAAATATATTATTCATAAAAAAGTAAATTATTAATCCATATCATAAAATGTAGAACACCTATTATGCTGCAAATAATGTTAGGCACATAAAATGAGCCGAAACATATTTCTCACCAAAATTCTAAACAGTATCAAAAAATACAAAGAAGACTCTAAGATCAATTATAAATTGGTCTAGATAATGAAAATATAGATGAAAGTGTGGTAAAGACATTTCTGAGAAGATATGTACATGGTGACGCATTAGCACAAGCAAAGATGTGTTTCATCAAACACCAGAGAAATGCATGTTGAAATCACAGGATGTGGCCCAATGAAATGGCTGAGGGCATATGACGCTTGCTGCCAAGTCTATTGACCTGAATTCAATCCCCAGGACACACATGGTGAATGTATAGACAACCCGACTTGTTCTCTGACCTGCATGCACAAATCACTATAAATAAATAAACGTAAATTAAAAAAGGGGGGATTTTCAGGAGGTACCATTTCTTACATACACAGCTGCTCAAACAAAAGTAACAATACTAAATGGTTCTAAAGACATTTGCACACTTACAGTACACAGACACACAAAGGAATGTTCAGTGTTCCCTTAATAAATTTCTAGACGTGAACAGTAGAAAGAAATCAAGAAAATGCTTATTTTAAACTTGGAGATGTCAGAAGAACCCACAAGATCATGACCACACAGATGGTAACCAAGGACATATCTAGTGCTATACTCTACTAAGAGTACATGCTAACAATTGAGTTATAAATAAAATGAATATCAATCTCATATAATGGGCATCCTTTAAGATTGGGAGATGCACATTACCCTGGTTATGCAAAACACTGAGTTTTCATTGTTGTTTTATTTAACTGTATCTGATCATATCACTATCAACTCCATCTCTTGCTACAGAATCTTTTGTAAACAATCTGTTCTCATAATAGTATCGAGAAACACAAAAAAACAGAAGCAAGTCTTATTTCAATGACCATTTCAAACCACTCATTTCCTTTCATATTTCACACATAAAGAAAAAAATACAACAGAAAATGTGTTTCATATTACTTCTTCAAGTACTTCTCTAGACTACAGAGAGACCAGTTACATTTTCTTTCTTGTCTTTTTCTTCTTGTGACTGATCTGCCACTTTCCGTTTGCAAATTAATATCAATCAACATTCTATTCAATATGGCCAAACATGACTGAGAGTAAACCCTTTATATCCATGTATGGCTCTAGGACATAATTTATAGTCTCCCCAGTCCAAAATGTGAACAGCAAAATAATTTGTATACAATTATACAACATAGTCACATACATTTTGATACTTTTCTTTTATGTAAGTGGTGTTTTGAATATATATATGGTGCTGGAGAATTACCTGAGAGTTCAACATCTGGATCAGCAGGCAGCAAGAAGAAAGAGCAACACTGTGTGTGTGTACCTTGAGTATATAAGACCTCAAAGCCCATCTTCACCATGATACACTTCCTCTAACAAGGACTCAAGTACTCCAAAGGCCACACTTCCTAATAGTGTCATACACTATATGCTTATGGGGACCATTTTCATTCAAACAACCACAATTACTTGGCTATCTCTCAGTCCTCAATACTTTTTTATGTATTTACATGGTGTGTAGATATGTGTAGGTTGGTGCATGCCATAGTGCTTATGTGGAAGTCACAGTAGAAATTAAGAGACTTGGTTTTCTTCCTTTGCCATGTGAGCCCCAGGAATTAATTCTTTTATTTATTTATTTATTTTTCAGCTTAAATTTAGATAAGAAACAAGGTTGCTTCACAATTCTTGTTATCATGCTTGCTAGCAAAAAAACCTCAACCCAGTGAGCCACCTTGCTACCACATTTAACACTACTTAAGAAATTTAACGCTATATTAACGATATATAGGTGATTGTTAAAACAAATTACTTAGAAAATAATGAAATAGAAAATAATGACAAGAAATAACATGTTCATTACTAATGCACATTTTTCCAAAGTATCTTTTTATACAGTGGTTACTGAAGGATTAGTGGAATCATCATGCTAACTAAGCATGATTTTTAGTCATTTATTTTATTTTTAAGGTTTTTTTCTGCATACAATAGGAAATACCGTGTTTCAAACTGTTACTCTCTTCCTGCTACAGGATGCAGATAGGTTACCAGTCACAGAGAAGAGAGCTATAGGTTATAGAAATAAAAAGACAAGAAACTGGGAGGCTAAAGTTCTAGATTGGTTTCTAAGGGGATATAAATTACTTAAGAAATAAGAGAAGCATGCAAGAATTAGTGGAGACTGGGAATCAGAGAAAATCTACCTTGGTGAGGGGTTATATTTATACAACACAGAATTCAAAGAAGCAGGAGCTTCAAGCAAAGTAACATAGAAAAATCAAACCAAAAAGAATTTCAGGCCGGGCGGTGGTGGCACACGCCTTTAATCCCAGCACTCGGGAGGCAGAGGCAGGCAGATCTCTGTAAGTTCGAGGCCAGGCTGGACCGACAGCCTCCAAAACAATACAGAGAAACCCTGTCTCATAAAAACCCAAAAAAAAATTTCAGAGAACTTTAACTTATAGGCCTACTCTAGGAACCAGAAGGTCCATTAAAAAGCAAAACCAAGAAAAGCGGTTTTCATAGTGTGTGTGTGTGTGTGTGTGTGTGTGTGTGTGTGTGAGTGTGTGTGTGTGCATGCGTGCGTGCGTGTGCAAAGAATTAAATGATTCCTGGGAGGAATAAATAAAGATAATTATGGAAATATATACTCAAGGCTCAGATGACAGAGAGAAAAGTGAAGGAAATCCACAGATGAGGGGAATCAGAGATATTGTGGAATATTATTTTGAGGTGTGTTACATTTGTTTATGCTATGGAACATTTGTTTAATGAAGTAAGGACGTGTTGCTTTTGTTTATGGGCATTTGTTTAACTCTGTGAATCTGTGATTCTTTGCCTGTCTAAAACAACTGATTGTCTACTAAAGAGTTAAATGTCCAATACACGGAAGGAAAAAGGATAGGCAGGGCTGGCAGACAGAGAGTATGAATTGGAGAAGAAATCTTACAAGGAGCGAAGGAAAACAGAGAACCAGGAGAGGAGGACATCAGGGGACAGCCACCCAGTAAAACATGGAGTAAGAGTGAAAGTAAGACATACAGAAGTAAGAAAAAGGAAAAAGCTCAGAGGCAAAAGGTAGTCGGGGATAACTGAAGTTAAGAAAACCTGGCAAGAAAAATGCCAAGCTAATCCTGGGCATAAATAGACTAAGACACCATGTGCGATTTATTTGGCAGCTAGGTAACAGGACCCCCCAAAAAGCCAAAAAGAGATCAAAGGCCAAAAGAGTGTTAAGAATAAAAAATAAACAACTACACAGAATGCCAAAGTTGAAAATATATTCCATATGTTCAATTATTACAGGATAACGTGAGCTAAAAAATGGTCTGAGTTCTCATAAGATAGTTCTGACAGTGACTGGTTATCAAGGCTTGACTGATGGGATTAGTATTAAATCCCAAAGTCAAGGTTATGGAATGGATATAAAAATTAATCCAGAAAAATTTGTAAATTAAATAATATATTAATATTATATGAGTGACCTTAATATTATAGATGTAAATTAATATTAATATATCAAAATGTATATACATAGATATGTAACAAAAATTAATTGAAAAAGAGGCCATGAATTTGAAAGATAGCAAGAAGATATGGTATGCAGGAAGTAATCTGAAATATAAAATAAATGATAAAAATCTAAGATATTTAACATACAGGAATCCATGAATACTCATTTAAGTACATCTGATGTTGATAATCATGATGTTAGTACATACCAAGATAAGTCCATATATCCATTTGAACCCTTAATTCTTTTTAGTTAAGATTTAGCCTTCCAAAAAAATCTTTTAAGTTTTTGGAAGTTCACAAAGAGGTAAAATTGCTATTATGAGTATGTGAAAAGCCATATACAATTTGTTCCCTCAGCTTAAGCATTCATGCATAATTTGTTTAAAATAAGTCTTGCCCAAAGATAAACATGTCATATATAAAACTACCTCACTTACAAAATTGTTATCCCTTCAACAACACTAAGAAAGTGAGATTTCCTCTGTTCCACAAGAGCCAACCCACAGCACTGCAACAAAACATCAGCTACAGCTTTTCTTAACTCATATCATCTGTGCAAACTCAGGGAAGTTGAACAGCCCTCTAATGAATGAAAAATGAGTCAAGATGGAAATAAAGAAATAAAGACTGTCTAAAATTTAATGAAAATGAATACACACCATACCTAAATTTATGGGACACTATGAAAGCAGTGCTGAGAGATAAGTTCACAGCACTAAGTGCCTGCATGAAAAAATGTGGTGACATCTCAAACTGTCTTCTTTTTTTGTTTTGTTTTGTTTTTTTGTTTTTGTTTTTTGTTTTTGTTTTTTTACGAGGCAGGGTTTTTCTGTATTGTTTTGGAGCCTGTCCTAGAACACACTCGGTAGACCAGGCTGGTCTCGAACTCACAGGGATTCACCTGCCTCTGCCTCCCATCTTAACAGCATACCTAAAAGTTCTTGAACAAAGAGACATAAGCACATCCAAGATGGGCAAATGTCAAGAAATAATAAAATTAGGGACTGAAATCAATAAAATAGAAAAAATGAGAACAATACAAAGAATCAGTGAAATAAAAAATAAATTATTTGAGATATAGTAATAAAATAGAAAAACCCTTATCCAAAATAATTAAAATGTTCAAAAGGAACATAAAAATTAACAAAATCATAAATAAAAAAGAGATTATAACAATAGACCCTGACTAAATACACAGGCATACATAACGACATACTTAACAAATCTATACTCCACCAATTTAAAATTTAAAAGAACTGGATAATTTCCTCCATAGTACCACTTTTGAAAGTTAAATCAGGACAGATCCACAGTTCAAACAGGCCTATAAAACCTAGAAAAGTACAAGCAGTCTTTCAAAGTCTTCCAAACAACGACAACAAAAAAACAAACCAGATAGTTTTCTCAGACATTTGAAGCAGTAATTCCAATACTTCTCAAATTGTTCCACAAAATAGAAACAGAAAAAACAACACACAATTCATTTTATGAGGCCACAGTTTCTCTGATATCCAAACAATATAGAAGCCAAACAAAGAGAACTGTGGACCAATTTCACTTAAGAGCATACATGCAAAACTACTCAATAAAACACTTGTAAATCAAATCTAAAATTGCATCAAAAAGATTCTGCACCATGATTAAGTGGGCTTCATCCAGGAGATGCAATGATAGCTCAATATGTGAATATCAATAAATATAATCTACCACATAGACAAACTAAAAGAAAAATAAAACACATAATGATCTCATTAAATTCAGAAAAGACATTTGACGACATCCAACACACCTTCACAATAAAAGTCCTGTAAAATTAGGTAAACAAGGATCATACCTAAACAGACCCACAAGCTATAGCCAATATCAAATTAAATGAAGAGAAATTCAAAGCAATTCCACTAAAATCAAGTACAAGTCAAGTCTGTCCATTCTTTCTATATCCAGAGTACCCGGGGGGTTCAATTCCCAACACGCATATGACAGCTAACAACAGTCCAAGATCTGACTCCCTCACAGAGACATACATGCAGACAAAATACCAATGAAACTAAAAATTAATTTTTTAAAGAAGCTCTCTCCTTATCATTTTTATATTTCAGAAATGTGAATCAAAAGCATACCACAGCCTATTTCTGGAACTTAGTCAGTGATATCCATTGCTTATAGGCACATTCCCATAAAGGTTCTTTTTTATACTGACTGCTTTTTTTCCAGTTTAAAAATATCACTGGATATTATGCGAACAATATTAACCAAGCATTATAGAAACAGCGTCTTGTAATTGGTCACAAGACTTTGGGGGGTTTTCAAACAATGATCCCAAGAATCACCTTCAAAAATAATTACAAAACAAGGTAGCTTGAATATAAGTGGCTTTCTTATTAGCTTACATCTATCATTCCTTGACAACATATAATACTTCAAATTTGATACTAGGGAAAGCAAACACAATATAATCATAGTTCCCCATGAATTAGATGTACCTAGTAATTATATGGCTGAATTAAAAGTTATAACTATATATAGTCACTCATCAGAATAAGACCCACTCAAAACAGAACTTAGATAGTATGTGATGGATTATTAAACTGCTAATGTATAATTCCACTACACTTCCATGATGCAAGGAAAAGAAAACTGAACTTACTTCTACAGGAGAAAATGCTATGCCACATTCCACAGATGTGCTTTCTTCCACCTCTATGGCATACATGTAAGGAAATTCTGTATTTTTTACCTCTCCTATAGAAGAAGAAAAATAATACATAAAACATATCCATGTGAGTATGTGTAGCAAGTAATTTAATGTGAACCCTGAAGATGTCATTATAATTCAGCAATCAAATGCAGCTGCTGAAATACCTAGGGGTAAAGCTGAGCAAAAATTCTAAGTGAACAATGATATATATATTATAATACAGGTTGTGAAACAGATATTTCCTGTTGCTCTCTGGCATATTTCCTTTCCATGATTATGCCATCATAGTAATTACATGCACATTACTAGAATAGACAGCTTTGCTAAAAACAAAATTATACATATAGTATTGTCCCTTTTTAATATATACTCTATTAAGGTTATAACAAAAAACAAAAAGACATGTACACAGAGCTCTCCCTCCTGCCGGTCAGAATCTGGTAATTTTCATAGTAAAGTAAAAAAGCAATAGATTTCTACCTACTTAACAGGAGTTCAAATGAAACTATCAATGATCCATAGGGCAAAGGAAGATGAAACCAGTTTATAAAAGATGAAAAGACCCAAGGAGCACAGAGAAAAGGGACTATTATCTAGGAGAATGGAAATTCAGTTATGTTGATATATATGATATGGCTCCAGAAGACAGTCTATAGTGCCTACAATCTCCAGGCAAGGTGAAATCATACTTAAAAGTATGTCAAAATTACTTTTCCCACAAGTCACTCTATCAAATATTATTTAAAGGATTTAAATAATATTTAAATAATTATTATTTAATTATTATTTAAAGGATTTTGTTGGAAATCAGAAAGATGTCAAAACTAGTCATTTATCTGTTAAAGTATTTCTAAAAAGATAAATTTTCAGAATGGTTTAAGAAAATGTTTTTTTTAGCAGATATTAAAATCAACTCACATGCTTTGTTTACTTTGTGCAGTCTCTAGCTCTGAAGCTGTGTTATTGGTAAAAGTAAGCCAAGAGAGCTTTTTAAATAGAGAAATATGATCAGAACTTTGGCTGAAATACTCTGTGGAATAGGAATAACGAGAAAGGGTTTGAAGCAGAAATGCATTTGAAAAGATAATTAAGTGTCTTTGAAGAGAGGCTTGAACTACAGACAAGTCAACTATGAAAAGAAAAGCACTTTGCTGGGCAGCTAGCCAAAAGATTTGATTAATGGAACATGAGTATATGGGAACCCAGGATACAGAGTCAAATGGCTAAAAATTGGTTCAACACACATATTTTAATAAATAAACATGGATTTCATGTCGATTCCCAACAGTCTACACTAAAGTTGTCATGGACAATTGAATAAGATACTCAAACACAGAGGGCCTGCTTAATCATGATCTCACTCTGGCACTCTACTAACTGTGAGGTGGACTCTCAACTACCTGGACCTTAGGATCAAACATCAGAAATGACTGGAAATTCCCACCTCCTCCTTCTCCTCCTCTTCCTCCTCCTCCTCCTCTTCGTCTTTCTCCTTCTCCTCCCCCTGGCACCCACTTTCACATTGGGTCAGATGATTACTCATTTCTCTGAACGTGTACTCTATTCCTTCCCATTGACATCTCTCCTATCTTGAGCTCAACTTCTTTTTGAAGAAAAATACAAGCCTAATATACTATCGTGTGCATATAAATCCTATAAATGTGCTGCTTAACTTCTAAGATAAAAGTCCAGAAAAGCATTTAATCCTAACAATTGAGAGACAAAGAGTGATGGATCTCCGTGAGTTTGAGGCGAGCCTCACCTACAGAGGGAGTTCAAAGCCACCCAGGCTGCAGAGTGAGACCCTGTCTCAAAAAATAAAAAAAGTCCACAAAAGTACTTTCACAAACTTGGTCTCATGCTCCAACCACTGATCATACTAACTCCTTACTAACACTTTAACCTCTTTCCTTCACATATATCTATGGTGGAACTTAATCAGGAGAAATAGCAAGGAAGCTTGACTTACTGTTTTAGACAAGTCAAGACAGAGTATTTTTAATTAAACTTTGTTTATAGAATAAAATTCAAGTAATATTTAGCCCAGGAGGATTAGTTGCTAACTCCTGAAGTAAAAAGGAAACAATATATGCATAAAAGCATATATTTAATTTAAGCAAAAATAAATACATTGACTTACACATGAGTAAACACAGAGGGAAGATTATAAACAATTTTGAGAATACAAATTTAACAATTATATTTTATTTATAGCAAATCATTTATATACCATACTTGCTATATGAAGCTAATTAATAAATACAGCTATATATCCTGTTATCAAAGTGTTCTTATATTACAAAAGACATAGTGAAAGAAATAAACTCATAAAAAATCATAGAAAGTAACTGCCATTGTTATGTTTTTAATGATTATACCTTAGACAATTTAAACTACTTTGCTTTATAATACTATTAATGTATAAAACATATACCTGCATTTCCCTTAAAATCCATTGCAAAAAGTGGAAATTCTTTTAGATTGAACTCTACTTTGGCCCGTGTCACACCTTTGTTGTTAATTACAAATGAAATAGTTTCTGTAGTGCCAACATAGGTGCCACTGAAATTAAATACATTCTAAAATCAAAAAAGAAATAATAATTAGAAAATAGAATAATGCTTTACAAATATGTATAGTCACATTTGTATTTTGCTATTTCTTAATATTAACTACCAAACGTATCTCTATAAAACTTGATCTTTCTCTTCCCCATATCTCATATGTAAAATACCAAAACCTATTAAACCTGCTCCCCTTCTTCAACTTCTTTACTAGATTGTATCTGTATGATGTTAGTAAGTAGTCAATTGCAATTTAGTTTCTAGGTTCTTACTTTCTCAAATTCTTCCCCTAAGTAACTAAGTCACAAAGTCCCTCTCTTGTACTTGACCTTCCCCCACCATCAACATGACAAGATCCAAGATCATCAGCAGTATTCATAATGCTGTACAAGGGCTTTAGTGGATCATAGTCTAGCCTCATCTAAGCTCTTTCCTCATCCTAACACTTTATATTTCAGTAAGCTCTATGATTTTGCCTTTCAAACTAACACCAGATTTCAACAATCTGTCTCTACTGACAAGTCTCTTCTCTAATATGTATTTACTGTATAAAATTATGCATCCATAAAAGCTCAGATAAACCATAATTAATTGCACTGTGGAAAGGATGACTTATTCCTTATGTTTGTTTCCTGGAGACGCCATAAAGTCTGTTCACATATGGCTCGTGTATAAAAAAACAGGATTAATTTTCATATACATGTACATGTGCTTCTATCCTTGTGTGGATGCTTACTGAGTGTATACAAACTCTTGCTCACACACCTGGTATGTGACTCTACCACAAACTTCTATAAAATACCTCACTGTAAAGTTACTATAATATCAACTCCTTAGCAAATGAAGCACACAAAACTATTAGAAGAAATAGTAGCAACAGTACTATAATATTGAGTTTAGCTTTTATACTAATTAATTTTTATTTTCCCTTTTATTGAAATATAATTTTTACATACAATAAATACTGATTATTGTTTCCCTTCCCTCTACTCCTCTGAGTTCTTCCCATATCCCCTCACATCTGGATTCACCCCACTTCCGTCTCTCATTAGATAACAAATAGGCTTCTATGAGATAATAATAAAATGTAATTATTGTATGACAAGAAGTAATACATAAGAATTGTACAAAACAAACAAATAAAAGAGCCAAAGGAAAGGCCCAAAAAAACAGAGATCCACTCATTTGTACACTCAAAGTCCCATAAAAACACTAAACTGGAAACCGTGATATGTGCGCAAAGGACCTGATGCAGACCCATACAGGTCCTCCCTGTGAGTTCATGTGTTGAGCATGTTGATTTAGAGGGCCTTGTTTTCTTTGGTTCCTCTATCCCCTCCTGTTCTTTCCACTCTTCATTTCCAATAATCACCACAGTATTAAATATGCCAGTTGAGTATCTGCTGGTCTATGGATCTCAAGCTTTCATCACTGAACAACAGGAGTCAGAAACTAAAGCCTGACACTAGAGCCTGACTGTAAGGCAGCCAGTTAAACTCTTGAATTTCTGTATTTTCTAGTTTAGTAGCATAATGGCACCAGATAATGGGGAAACAATTGGAAAACAAAAGTTGCAAGCAATCTCAACAGGATAACCACTACAGTGAAAAAGCTCTCAAAAGTATAAGAGGTTAATAATATCTTACAAATTTCACTATGCAAGAACATGAAGGCCTGAGTTGAACATCTCATCAAAGTTTCTTTGGGTAAATGGACCAGAACTTATCATTTGAAGTGCTACTTAAATAAAGAAGGAGTGTGTGTGTCAGTGTGTATAAACATTATCAATTGTACAACAAATACTATTTATGTATAGATAATGATTTGAAAAACTGATGTGATTACAGTTCAGAAAATTAAAATCAAGACTACAGTAAGGTATCTATACTCATTAAATGAGGCCTTGTATATCATAACATAATTTGTGGAGCATTGAAATATGGAACAATAGTAATTAAAGTATTAGAATGTATCTTGTGGGGGCTAGACAGATAGCTCAGCAGTTAAAAGTGCTGGCTGTTCTTCCAAAGTTCCTGAGTTCAATTCCCAGCAAACACATGGTGACTCACAACCATCTATAATGAGATATGCTGCCCTCTTCTGGCATAAATGTATACATGCAGACAGAGCACTAAAATACATAAATAAACCTTTTAAAAAGCTAAGCATGGGGAAAAAAATCCAAAAAAAAAAGAAAGAAATCATTTTGTGAAAATAAACATGAATGAACCCTTCTTCGGAAGCTTGTGTACCTCAAAATATGACCTGCTGGGGTGACAATACTTGCAATAACAGCCAGAAATAACTAGATCGAAGAACCATGGAATGAAGATACTAATTATAGTATGTTCAAACAAACAACCTTCATGTAGCAATGATGAAAAATACAGCTTCATAAAACCTAAATCAATAGTGGCAACACAATATTCAATTAATATACCTCATCAAGGACTATAAACACTTCTTCAGAAGTGTCATAAAAATCAAAACAAGAAATATTAAACCAATAGTTAAGACATATATATCATATATATGCATATGCATATATAAACTTTCATTATAGGCAAAGGTTAATCTCTTATGAATGTTGAGAACATAATGAAACAATTTTGATAATACTGCTAGTTTTCTCACACCAAAGTTCAGTATTTTCTTCTTAAAAAATTCAATATCCTGCTTCATCAGTTACAATTATAGTACATATTATAACTGCTGTATAAAAACTTACTGCAGAGAAAAATACTTAATGAACTGAATACGGACACAACATAACTATCACAGTCATAAATTAAGCAAACAAGCAAGAGGTGTATACTCACAGGTGTGATTTCAACATCAGCAATTTCAACAGACCCACCAATCCTAAGATCTATAACATTCGCACGGTGAATAGCAACCTTATTTAAGAGAAATAGGAAATTTTGTAGAAATTACATTAAAATATAATCATATATAAAAATTCCAGGTTCTCTCATATGACACATTATAATATGAATGAGAGCACTATATACATATATGTATATATACATATATATATGTGTGTGTGTCTATGTCTGTGTTTCAATGACTTGTGTGCATATATATATATTTAAAATTTTATTTTGGCAGATATTAGTACTTTCCTTCTTTGTCATAACTGATACTACTTGGAAAATTGAGCATTTAGCCATTAGAAATCAGATGGCTTATGAATGTGATTGGAGAGCATTGTGTATTTGACTAGACCTGACTATAATAGTCTGTCACACATTTTTCCTTATCTAATTCCAACAGATTATTCAAAAAAACAAAAGTACAGTTAAATGACATACACTTTCTTCCACAAAAATATGCTAATAGACACAAGAACTATGAAAATAAGTCAAGTGTTGTATAGGACTACTTTAGTACCATATATATATATATATATATATATATATATATATATATATATATATATTTGGAGCCTACTGTCAGGAAACAAGACAATCTAACAAAAAACTTAAGATACAAGTATGGTAAAAAGTCTCTGTGAGTTGTTTTTGAAAGGAATCTACAAGATTTCCAAAGCAACATGGTTGCTCTCGAAACCTTGAGTATCAGACTCTATTGCTAATGACACCACACATTTTGGTTATAAGACAGGAGGTATTTAGCTGGACCTCACCAGGAAGTCTCCTCCCTGGGCACTAGCTTCCATACTATTGACAGGTGGTATGCAAGCTGCTAAAGGAGAGGAGGAATCAATAGTTCTACCTAGCTATGATGCCTACATACCACAATGGCCTGCCATAAAATATATCCCCATAGTGCACCTGTGTCACTATTGTATTAAGGTGACAGATTTAAGACCCACTTAATGGGAAGAATTCATATGTGGTACTGAGAACAAGTCAACTACCCAAGTATGAAGAGGACAACCTACTATGACCATTTCCCTGCACCAGTAGAATTTCTAACTGCACTCTGAATATTTATGCTCAATCCCAGAAATAAACAGTTTCCATCACTTGTTTAAAAAGCTATTTTTTGTAGCAGATGGAGACTATGAGGGAAATTTATAACTTGTTAAAATACAGTGAACTGACCATGGATGGCCTTCTGCAGCATAACCCTGACACCTAAGGCTCAAGGAACATCATGAAAGAGGAAACAGAAAGAATCTAACAGCTAGAGGATCATAATGTCTCCTGAATCATATAATTACTTTTTCTTAATTTCTCTAATGCCATGGAGGAAAGCTCATTGATTTCTGAGAACAGTAAGGATCTGTCAAATGATTCAATTTTAGGTGAAACTGCCACGTGCTTATTGGTAGTTATTAATTTCAACTTAGAAGAAACTTCAGTTACTGGGTTTTTAAAAAGAATTTTCAGAGACTTTTCTTCAAGTGTTGCTACCTAATGTTCTTTTATATGATTTAGGTATACTTGCTACTTTTAGACCTCTAAAACTACATATTTATAATTAATTCAATATTTATATAAACATCATTTTAATGTTAGTGCTATAATCCAAAATTCCATTAATTGTTGATGAAATAAGTACATTTACTAATAGCAAGTGTAAGCAGTTACTTTGTGATAATGTACTTAATATAAATATTTTAAAACATTACATACACGGGGACACATTTATATAAATACATATACACACATATATACTAATACAGAGAGAGAAAGAATGAACAAGTGCATGAACAAATATACCTTTGCTCTTGTATCAAATTTTTCTGCCACAGTAGGTGTACAGGAGATATTAAGAACGGTTATTCCCCCAAAGGGGATTACTCCTTCTGATGGAACGATATTAATGGTAGGCAAAAGGCTTTGATCACAAACCTGTAATCAAAAATTGTAAGATGCTACAGTGCCTTACAAAATAATTATATCAAAGTTTTGACATGGAAACATCTATAGTACTTTCTACACAGAGGCTCACTGAGCATAAGATATGAGGTGATTTTGCAATAGAATTTTACTATTTCAAATGCACTTTTAAACTGCAACTAGTTACTCCCATCTAATCCTTGTTGCTACCATGACAATCCTGATTACAAAGTGAAAATAAAAAAGGAAAAGCAGATCACTTACTATATAGCATAACATTTCTTGGCAATTATATTTAAAACATTTTTTAATAAACCAAATGATACTAAGGAAAAATCATAACTTGGGAAAGTAGAAGAACAAACTAGCTAAGTGTACTCAGAAAATCGACTTATAATAACTTAATCAGTGCTTTGAGACTATTTATATATAGCAAAGTATTAACTTTGTAATATGCTTGGAACAAATTGACTGAAATCATTACTTAATTAGATCCTAATAAGGAATGACAAAAATTCTGCATTACCTTGAAATAAGCATGGTTTTGACCTATATTGTGAAGAATGGCTTTCCTCCAAGTAGTTAAACCTTGAGAGCTATTACTGAACAGTATTCTTGGCTCTAAAAAGGTGACTTTAGTATGTCCAACCTGGTAATAAAAAAAGGGAGAAATCACCAAAATAATAGCAAATAAAATAATTCAATTGATTTTCTTGGAAAATTAAATATAAATAACTCCAGCATCACCAAATATATATATATATATTTATACCTATTAGCACATAATTTTATTAATTGATCTAGTGTGATCTCTTTGTAACTTGAAAAGGTCTTAGTATGAAAAAAAAAGAAATAAAGCCAACTATTTCTCAAAGGGAAGTGAAGAAAGTAAAGATAGAAGTGACAAAAGTATACCCCTATCATATAACTGGAAATTTACGTTCATGGAGAATTTTGAAATATAACATATTAGTAGATTTTGTTGAATCCTTAAGACAAAGAAAATTAGAATATAATGTCTAAATATTACTCTCTCAAAGTGCTGGTGGAGAATAATTTACTGATAGAATAATTCCCTGGCTTGGGTGAAGCCCTGGGTGTGATCCCAGCCACACCACAACACACATATAACTGTAGAAGGCAGGGTGAGGCTATCCCTATGGGAGAAGTGCTTCCTAGACTAAGAAACATACTGACAAATTACTGAAAGGCTCTTAGAGTTATCATTTACTCAGCTACTGTATGCTATGCAACAGAATTCAAAGATCATCTAAATATAGGGAACAAGTTATTAATAATGAAATCACCCAGACATGCTTCTACTAGAATCCATCTTTATACAGCTTAATATGCATATAATGTATGCTTGACCTGCATGAGGTGGGGACATTGGTCACTCTGACAGAATTACACAGGTATAGGGATTTTCCTCTTCCTTCCAAGAAAAGCATTTCGCAAAACAAACCATAGAACACTATTTTGAAATGTGGCCATTATGCATGTTTACAGTAGGAAAGGTAAGTATTTAGGCATCAAAGGTAATTGTAACACATTTTGTCCAAGAAATATTGAGTTGAGTCCCCTTTATACTAGACTTTATAACAGCTTTACAAAACATGCTATTATATTAGGTTTTTAATACACTTAAAATTATTTTAAAACACAATTTTAGTAACTGGAATAATAAACTTTCACACCAAGCTAAAACAGAAAAAAAGTAAAGCAGATTTTTATAAATATATGATGAACCTTAATTAACCTTTTATTTAAACATTTTATGTTCATCCATCCTGTGGGTCTTCAGAGTTAACTTTAAAAGCTGCAAAGCTTTACCTGAAATGACCCAATTTACTATTCAATTACCTCAGTTATTTCCTTGTCTACATCACTATTTAATTATCTCATAGATTTTTTTCATAGTTTTCTTATTTCATTCTTATTGACTCATTGGGTAGGAATAGATAAAACAAATCTCATTAGAGAGGGTAACATTAAAGTCTGAGGAGGCAGTTGGATCTGGAAATAAACCATCTGTGAACTTGTATTAATTACTTAAACACACTAGTCTTCCAATAATTCATCATTAATAATGTATTTGAATATATACAATAAATACCTCAAAATTTGATAGGGGTGAGATAATAAATACAAATTAGCATGGCACTTGATACATAGTAATTGCTCAATAAATAGTGTCTATTTAATGCTAAATCTATTTTTATATGTTAGTGAAAAATAGACATAGGTTGAGTATGTGAGCAAAAGTACATTATTAAACTTGTTAGATACAAGTAAATAAACAGATAAATACTGTACATATGCTCACTAAAAGAGCTTCAATAATGGAATTGAAATACGTTAGTAATAACACATATCCTAATTAGCTTTGTAAATGGGAAGTGACAGAACATTCACCCAAATGGAATACTTTCCAAAGAGGACAATGAATAATCTACAAACATAAGGGTCAGCACAAACTAGTCCCATAAAACTAATTATAACAGGAAGGCATACATGCAATGATGCAGTTTGACTATGTGAACAAAAATTTTAGACCATAATTAATTTTCCATAAGTAAGAAAACTGAAATCCTTGGAAGGAATATGGTTATGGGAAATGTGGCCTGGGAGCATGGTGGTTGTTTTGTTAAGTTAATCATGTTCTGTTTCTTAATCTGGGTGATCTGTGAGTGGTAACAAGGTATCAATTGACAAAGACCAGTGATACATACTTTTAGTATCTGTACGTTTATGTATGTGTGTTTTACTTCAAATGGAAGCTATTGAAATAATAATATGTGATATATACACAAAACCAGTAGAAGTCAGCTTATTTCAAGCTTGGACCTGAGGAAAGATTCTACTGTGTTGTGACAGCCACTTGCAATCCCTAAAATTAGACAGACTCTTAGGTATAAGCAACAAGCACCTCCATAGATGAAACACATTAGATAACTATGTCCAGAAAATAAAAACAGAATTCAGTGAAAGTACTTGGGTTATTTAAAATCTCTAACGGCACTGCCTGGGATTATAAACAAAATGCACTCTTGGTAACCAAAAGGAATATTGTTAGGGCATCTTGGGTCATACCATAGAATGTTATTTACTTATAGGTCACATTTTTTATTGTAAGAAACATAATTTATAGTTAATAAAAACCCTGGTATCTTTTAATATAAATTGCATGATCTTTTCCACACTAAATTACTAACACTTACTAGAAGATTAAGAGTAATTTTAGGAAATAAAATTTAAGGTAAATATAATTTTCTCTACTACACTATATGTTGTGTATTAATAATAAAGTTATTCAAGTGGCTCCCACAATGCTACTACATATTTATAGAGCCTCTATCAACCCAGTGTTGTTTCCACAAAGCTCTTCAATATATGAGTTAGTTCTTCATTTACAGAAGGTAAGTAGATCTATGAAGTAGCTAAAATAATTATTATATAAATTAAATTTTTATATGCAGAATTAAGCCAAGAAAACTATATAGCTGGATAACTTATAATGCTCAAGATAAAAATCACAATCAAGAGAAATAATTACATGTGCAATACACTTGAGTGTCAACGTATTTCCTCCAGACACTTGAAGTGTAAACTCTCCCTTCTCCGGAGAACTGAAACCTGGCTGCCAGGTGACTTCACATTCCAATGAGCAATATGGATCAACAATGCCTACAGAGAAAAAAAAGAAACCACATTTTCATTACTCATTCTTTTGTAAACATTCAAGATAAGAGCTAGTGTAAATACGTAATGGTATCATATGACAACTAAAACTAAATTTAAATAACAGAAATTGTAAGTGAGTCATTATTAAATGAACACAGTCCTAGAATATTTCATTAAAAACTAAAATATAAATTGATTTTGCTCATAGGTAAAAATAAACGTATACCAAAATATACCAATGTTTGCAAAACAACTGAAAATGTATCACGGCTATAAACATTAGGATTAGAGATGCACAGACAATAGGAAATCTTTTGTGACCCCTGACCAGATTAGCTAATCTAATTCCTCAATATTCTTAAGTAACTATCAATTATTAAGATTTCAGAAGGAAGAATTTCTATTATGGCTTTTAGAGATTAACTTCTGATAGAGCTAAAAGTAATGACATGTGAGAGAACATATATTAGAAACATTAGGTATAAATGTCAAGTTTCTTTAGTTTTGTCATTTAAAAAGGAAATCATGGTTAATGAGAGCAGAAGCGATGGGGTTATTCTGAAGTATCCCAAGAAACTAGAGGAAACTTCACTATCGTGCATGTGAGTTTTGACATGAAGGATAGATGAGCTTGAACTTTGGAGGATGGCAAAATTTGACAAGGACATAAAAAATAGCCTATGAAAATGACTAATCTAATCAAGAAAAACAGCAAAGAATACCTGATGGAAAATGACATTGAAGTTATTCCTCAAGAAGAAAGAAGTTGCTGAAATTTGGTGACATATGTCACTAAATAGAAGATATGACTTACCATTACAAACAAATTTTGTTTGGGGCTATTTTGACTTGCATGCACTGCAAGTATTTGTTTTGTTTTGCTTTTTAGGTATTAGAAAATGAAGAAATGGAATGTTGACCTCTGATTCTTGCAATGGCCATACCAGGAGATGAAAACTCAATAAAGTGATGGACATGTATGATATGCTCAGAAAGTACTAAGTAACACACATTCAATATTCTTGGATGTCGATACTGTGATTATGAACTGTAATTAATGAAAGATACAGAGTCAGTTATGGAAGTGTTAATGTCTAGAGGTCTGTCAAGATCACCCTGGCTGTAAGGGACAAAAAAGTCAGTCCTGATACAGATGATTAAAGAGACAGAGGTTTGTTCAAGAAGAAATCGCCCCACTACAATTAAGAAAGTAGTGAATAGGAATGGCTGTGATGGAAAATAAACAAAGAAGATTCAATGATAAAAGAGGAATGAGTTTAACAAAAAAAGATTACCAGTTAATATTGATAAATCTAGGTGAAAATATTTCTCCCTCCAATCAACACAATTTCTAAGGATATTGTGCTTATCAGGTAATAGAGAAAGAAGTCATAGAAATAGATTAAATTAGGATGAATTTATTAACAGTTAATATAATATAATAAAGAATTAAGAGAGCTGATAATTTCTGGGAGATATTGCTCAGTTAAGAATACTGAGCAAAGCCGGGCGTTGGTGGCGCACGCCTTTAATCCCAGCACGCGGGAAGCAGAGGCAGGCGGATCTCTGTGAGTTCGAGGCCAGGCTGGACCGACAGCCTCCAAAACAATACAGAGAAACCCTGTCTCATAAAACCAAAAAAAAAAAAAGAATACTGAGAAAGATTCAGGTGAATTAACTGAAGACAAGTTCAAGTATTGATTTATGTTACTGGCAAAGAAAAGGCTAACAAACTAAATAAGCACATAGAAAAATTAAACTAGAAGTGAATTCTCTCCCAGAAAATATCTTTCCACTTTCATTTTCTCCTTTTTTACAATATTCGCTATCCAAATACCAATTCAAATAGTATCAGTGTCTTGGAAGAATGATAAACATTTTAATATAGCATTATTCACATCACTTTACAAAAGGGCAGAAAGGTATATGATTAAATTTGTTATACAAGATGCCAGATCAAAATAGTATAAAAATATTAATGATGAAAATTCAGAAGTAACAGCTATATAACACTGAGTAATCACTGCATGCACATTCTGAATAAACTGATATTAAAAATCCATGTATATAATTACAAATATGACATGATCTCTTAAATTCTAGGCAAAACAATTTGAAAAACTATCATATTCTTAAAGTAACTTAACAATATTTACATAAAATTTCATATGGAATTGAAATATTTAAATATCTCCATGCTGTAATAATTAGGTTCTCAAAAAAACATATGAAAAATCATGGATAACAAAAAGAAAATAGAAGCAAATATCAATAGCTACTTTATAAGGAATTCTTAAGACCATCCAAAGCATAACTATTATGACATTTATAATTTTGCAATTCTACTTCTATTTTAGCCAAACTATGCAACACCACTGCATTTCCACCACAACCACAAGATAAAGGTCAGCCAATTAAGTCATAGTCAAGGTACAAAAATAATGTAAAGTCATAGTTAAGGTATAAAAATAATGTAAGTTGGAAAAGCATAATATGCTTTGCTTTTTTTTTTTTTTTTTTGGTTTTTATGAGACAGGGTTTCTCTGTATTGTTTTGGAGGCTGTCGGACCAGCCCGGCCTCGAACTCACAGAGATCCGCCTGCCTCTGCCTCCCGAGTGCTGGGATTAAAGGTGTGCGCCACCATGCCCTAAGCACCATTAATGAAAATTCAGAGTTGGTCAGAACCTACAGCTAGAGTACTGATAGCCAATCTAAAACTGGCATACCCTTGTTCAAATAAATTGAAAGGGCTGTGGAGCATCTCTGAAATACATAGAATTACATTCTCATTCTTCTCTATTTTCTCAATAGGAGTCAGTGGTAACAACATTACACTTTAAAATACAGTTTGTGCAAATGAATATGAGAAGCATCAATAAAATAAAATTATGATGTGATTATTCCAAATAACTTGACTATTAAGGTACTTCATGAATTCTAACTTAATTAAAAAAAAGCTCTTTTTCCAGTTTTGAAATTTATGAATATCAATGAATCAAGTTTAATGTTAAGATTAATTTATAACACTCTTTAATGAACACTTGCAAATTGTATTAAAATAATTTAGAAATGACTGGTAATCATATGAAAATAAATACTATATTTGAAACATAACAATTTATATTCTAGACAATTGTTCCTAAATTATAACTAAAGAAAGTAAGGAGACAGTATAGAGGAAGGAAGAGGAGGAGGAAGGCAGGAAGAAATGAGTAGATCATAGAAATAAATATCAAGATATATGATAAGCTGATAACACTTTCAGAAAACTTTCAAATAAAAAGGTTCAAGAATAAGAAATTTTCAAAACCGTATACCTTTCCATTTCTATTTTCACCATCCTTTGTGAGACATTATAGCTTTCTATAAATTTAATATTAAATATTTATTTCATGTTTATGTGTGTGGCTACTGAGTAGCCTGCAGAGGTCAGAGTACTGTGTCAGGTTCTCTTGAAGCAGTGTTGATGGACCATGTGGGATCAGGGAGCCAAACCGAGGGACTCTAAGAGCAGCCATCACTCTTATCTGCCAAGTGATCTTACCAGCCTCTCATACGTGTATAGACAGGAAATTAACATGCATAGAGAAAATGGTTCATGAAAAATAACTAATGAGTGAGAAGCTAAGATCAGCTTAACTCTTTATTTTACTTGGCACTCATGGAGTACTAAACTCCACAGTACGCCAGTGCAGATGCAAAGACTCATACCTTTCTATCTCACTGTAAAAGTGTAAGCACATAAAATGGAAAGACGGGATTGGTCAACAGGTAACTTGCAATTTACTTCTTTAAATTATAACTTCTATCTTATAAAGTCCTCACTGCACAACACAAAGATGTTTGCCAAATGCAAAAGAAGTTACCAAGTTAGTATAATAAAAAATACATTACATGAAATTATTAGTTTGTAGGGAATGACACACACAAATTGAAATGGATGGGTAACTATTTCAGGGGCCCATCAAAAGCAGTAATTCAGATTGGCTTATACTAGTGTTTTTATTAAAATATAGTCTTACATTTGTAATCGCATTAAATGTATTTTATTAGTTGTATTTATCACTAATCATAATTTAAAATCTCAGAAATTGTAAGTCATTATAAATCATCTTATGGGCCGGGCGTTGGTGGCGCATGCCATTAATCCCAGCACTCGGGAGGCAGAGGCAGGCGGATTTCTGTGAGTTCGAGGCCAGCCTGGTCTACAAGAGCTAGTTCCAGGACAGCCTCCAAAGCCACAGAGAAACCCTGTCTCGAAAAACCAAAAAAAAAATCATCTTATGGTCATACCACCCTGATCGTGCCCAATCTCGTCTGATCTCAGAAGCTAAGCAGGGTTGGGCCTAGTTAGTACTTGGATGGGAGACATGTATATGTTTAATTCACCTTTATCTGTTCAATGACTATGTGTTAAGTGAATGAACCAATGTGCTCAATGTACAAATAAAACTATGATTCATAAATCATCTTATAATTTTACCCAAACTATAAAACTACTGACATTTTCAGCAGTATTTCCAATGGTTAACGCTATACATTGTTTAGATTGAGGGACTAAGTTGTGTGGTCAAACACCAAGAAAAATAATAAATAGCCTTATTCAGATGTGAATAAGATAGCAGAATTAAAATAGTTAAATGAAAAATACTGCATATATTTAGATCATACAATGTGCTAATTTGATATATATTCATATTGTATGGCAGTTTTAATAAGCAAATGCTTATTTAGATTACATCTAATAATTTCAGTGGGTCTTAATAATTTGAAAGCTTTGAGGACTTAGAACTCCTAGAAATTAATCTTTCCTTTGATTTAAACATTACACCATCATTTTTCCTCTGGGTATCTAGTCTCCCATCTTGCCTTGTAAACTTCTGATCTATTCAGCCACATAGTTAACCAAGAATTTACATCACACAGTCCTTATATTTCAAGATAGATCTCCTGATGATAGTATCCAGTTTACTTCTATGCTATTGACTTAAGTACATAGCACATGCTCAAAAAGTAATTAATGCCTGAATGCAGAGAGAATGAATGAATTTCTAAATAAAAAATACATATACATACTATTACCTTTGGCTGGACGAATAGAAAATGCAGTTCCTCTCAGTGCACTTACTGGTTTCCATACAAATTGGCCAGGGAGATTCAGATGATTATATAGCCTAACTGTTCCCCGAAAACATGTTTTCAACGAGAAGGTTTGTGGTCTCAATACAATCTCATTAGAAGACAGTTCAAGTTTCACAGGCAGGATGACAGCCATCACTAGGATGTGTCCACCAGGGATGTTGTTAATTCTGAAAGTGAATGATCTGCAACAGAGTAGAGAAACTCCCAAACTTAATTGATAGCTTGGTTCCTATTTAGGATTACAGATTTCAGTTACATATAATATATATATGATAGATTACCATAAATAACTAATTCAGAAAATATTGAAGAAAATTAAAATATAAACTATGCTACAATTACTGAAGTAAATTATATCATAAATGACTCTAGTAAGATGAAACATAGAAATAAACCTTACTTCCAAAATTTTCCACTGGTCGAAGACTGAAATACCATCGAAACATAAGTACTAGATGTAGGTGGGATCACATATGAAAATTGCTTGGTTTTCTGAAGTTCTTCCAAATCAATATCTAACTGTATCAATATATACATGGGCAGCATATTAACAATGTGAAGTAGCTGAGTATTTGTAGATTGCACACAAATATTACCAAAGTTAAGGACAGATGGTCCTGAAATAAAGTAAGTTATTAAGTAAAATTGTTGTAAAGGTTTTCCTTCATTTTCTAAGTCTTCAGATTTTATTTTGGTAAGTTAAATTATCTAAAGTTAACACAAAACTATTTAGTATAATATCACAAAAGTATTGGGTACAATACAGACATGAACAGCTGCACTTATATCTAGCAGACTAAAGTTTCCTGTTTAGAGATTATTTGCTTCATATTCAATATGAATATTCCAGTATGGAAAATTTCATGGTAAAATAATAATCACAATAAAACTCCTATCATCAGTTGATCTGCAACAGTTCTCCAATGTGTCTATTTGTGTAAGTATACTTAATTTTTCAGCAATATGTGATTCATAAAATATAGCAATTTTCATTCTATTACTTATTTCCTAACGGTTCCCACTATAATGCTTAACTATTTAACTATAATAATCTTAATAATTATACATAATCTCTTTTTATTTTGAGACAAGAGTTAACTTTATAGCCAAAGTTAACTTTGAACTCATGATCCTCATATTTGTACATATATTATAGGTATGTATCAGCCCCACATTGCTTTCAATTGGCCAATTTTAATAATTTCATTAAGTTATAACTGAAATAAAACATATTAACTATACTTAATTATAAAATTTCTTTAGTACTGACATACATATATAAAGGTTGAATACTGACCACTCTAAAATATTTTCTTGTACCTTGTTAATTTATTTCCTCTCACTAATCCCAAAATAATTCTCAGCAATGCAATTCACATGTATTACGGGGGGGGCGCGATGGGGGGAGGGCACGGGAGGAGGGAAGGGAAAGGGAGAGGGACTTGGAACTGACTTGTGAAGCAACCTTGTTTCTTATCTAAATTTAAAATGGAAAATAAAAAAAATGAAAAAAAATTAAAAAAAAAGAAAGAGAAAAAGCCGAGGCAAAACATATAAAGAAAGAGACTGGCTAGAATCAAGTCAAACATGCATAATTAAGATTGTGTCTCAGTGTATTTATTGGGGAGCTGGGTGGTAGGTCCCCAAAGAGTTAAAGAAAAACAGCTACAAGCATGTCTGTGAGAATTTATTTGATCACCTTATTCAGTATGGGAAGTCCCAGCCTACTCTGGGTCTACACAACACATTAGTTTGAAGTTGTGGACTATATAAGAGCAGAGAAAGTAAACCAAGCACTAAAGCGTATATGCATTCATTTCTCTCTGCTCTTCACTGTGAATCTGATGTGGGCAGCTGTCTCGAGATCCATCTGCCTTGACTTCTCCCCAATAATAAAATATAGGCTGGAATTTGGGTTAAAATAGTTTTCTCCCCTAGCCTGTTTTTTGTCACGGTATTTTCTTCATAACAACCAAAATAATACTAGGACATACTCCCTGTATGCATATATCTTAATTGTATTGGTTTATTCACCTGTTCACTGATATTTAGTTTCTAGTTATTAGTTACTTCATAAATGCTACTAAGCATTTTTGATAGCAAGCACTAATTTGAGATACAACTTCATTTCTTTGGGATAAATATCTAAGAGTATAAGGGATGAATTACATGGGTGGCTTGTACATGAATATATAAGGAGCCAGCACACTATATAAAATAGTTTCACATTGTGTACTACTCGTGAGAATATAGCTATTTTAGTTTGCTGGCCACTTATATAGTAACTCGTCTTGGGTTCTTTGTGTTTGGGAGGAAAATTAAATAGTGAGATGGTTTTGCTTGATGAGTTACCTCTAGCCATATACTAAATTTATAGTTCTGTCTCGTTTTGGTTTAATTTCATATGCCCATAAGAATTAACAATGTCTATTTTAATATGTGAGAACACCAATTCTGTATGTTCTTTACTGAATGGTCTGTTCAAATTTTCAGCCTGTTTACTAAAATGTAATTGCTGCTTTTGTAAGTTTTATTGTATATTCTAGCTAAAAGTAGTTTATCATATGTAATATGTAACAGTTTATTTTAGCTAATGAATGATTTTTATTCTCCTACCAGTATTTTTACACACAATAAAGCAAAACTACTTAAGTTGGATTAATCTCTGAATTCCTACTGGATGTTTGGTCAATTATAGTTTTATCTTGATAACTAAAACATTTTGCTTTCCCAAAGTTAAGGATATTTTCCTGTATATCCCTCAACAAAATTTTCCTATATATTCCCAATAAAATATATTGTTTATAATCCATTTTCCTTAGATTTTTAAAAATAAAACTGACAAAGTATGTACATGTTTGCAATATGAATGACATTTTCATATATACATACATTGTGGTAATATTAAATAAATCTAATTGAAATATCTGTCACCTCACACAGTCAAGTTTGTAGCACTACATTTATATCACCACGGACTTTCAATAATATAAAAATTTGTTATTAACTATAGTCATATAGCTCTCCAGAACTTATACTAAATGAAGCTTTGTATTCTTTGACAAACAACCCTACTTTGTCCTCCATCTTACAAAAAGATATCAAGCAGTATATTCTTTGGTTTTATAAATCCCAATGCTTCTTTTAATTCCACATAAAAACAAGATAAAGTAGTATTTGTCTTGGTCTGCCTGATTTCAGTGTCTTCCATATGGATTCCTTTACCAACAAATAACAGAATATCTTTCCTTTTAATGAATGATACTGTTTTGCATAAATATATCATATTTATTATTTTTCACTGCATATTTAATCCTAAGTGATATTTTTCAGCCATGTATACATTATGGGATAGTTAAACAATCATAATCAACATCATAATTAACATATACATTACCTCATGTACTTGTCAATTGTGGTGTGAGAAAATTCAAAATTCCACTCAGCAATGTTCATGTATTTTTTTTTTTTTTGGTTTTTCAAGACAGGGTTTCTCTGTAGCTTTGGAGCCTGTCCTGGAACTTGGAATATCCACCAGACTGGCCTCGAACTCACAGAGATCTGACTGCCTCTGCCTCACAAGTGCTGGAATTAAAAGTGTATGCCACAACCGCCTGGCTCATTTATCTATTTAATTATAGTTACCATGTTGCACATTGTATCTTGATGACAAGAATAAATCGAAATTGGGACTGGGGATTTCTTGTGAGGATGCTGAATCTCTTTTTTGGTTTAAATCTATGACTATAATATATTGGCCTGCCAGAACTATCACTTAAAATTGATCCTTGTGTGTCTTTAGTTCCAGTAGGATTTCATAGGAACTGAAGACCAAAGCTCTCACAATGGCACATTTGTCCAAGAACAACTACATAATTACAGTTGTGTGGTAAAATGAGCCATGGAACTTATATTCTACCATCTTGATAAAATCTGTTTTTGAGAGCGAGGGGAGAGGAAGAGAATGAAAGACGGATAGAGGGAAGGATGAAAGGAGAGAGAAAGGGAAGGAGGGAGGGAAAGAGGCAAAGAAAAAAATGAGAATAAGAAATTGGGCAGGTAGGATCTGGAAGGAACTTCAGGGTACATGATCAAATATTGTATAAAGATATTTAAAATCAGCACACACATACACACATACACAAAAGAGTGTAATAGATTTATGTATAATCTTACCAACAATTACTTGATGGATTTGCTTTGATGTCAAAACTTTGCTGCAGTCATGCTTTTCATGGTGAGTGGTTGGCTTTGATTTAATTCCTTTGAGGATCTGTTTTTCCAAAATTAAGCATTCAGTATTAGTAAGAGAAATTTTTAGAATTCTCATGACAATAAGAAATTTGAAAACATGTCACATGCCTTTCTCTGCAGAGATTCTGTCTCCCTGGATGTTATTTTCTTGGTGCTTAGCAATCTTTTAACTTTGAGAGAAGAAGACTTTAAAGACGAAGGTATCTCTTTCTCTATTTCTGATTGAGATAGTGGTGGTGACCTTAGACCAGATAATGGCTGCATGCCTATATCTACTTCATTAAATTCATACTTGCGTCCCCTATAAAAATAATGAAGATGATAAAATAATAGTAATATTGACTAAGTGAGGAAATGTTATTCACAAAACACAGTAATAAGTAAAAAAATCCTTCATGAAGGACACTGTTATGGACTTACCCATATCCATTTAACTGAATTGGAATACTTATCTGAAAGAAGCTTCCCTCCCCTCAGCGGCCTCTAATCTTCTTCAACACCTCAAAGAAGAAGTTATAGCCATCCCTATTTCATTTTCACACTCAAAAAACAAATCACAATCACTGAGCATTTTGACTTAATGTGAAAAGCCTCTTTGGTTCAAGATAGAAACAATGATAACATTTATGTTAAAAAAAAATCTTGGCATCAGGCTGAGTACAAACTTTATTTGAAACAAATCAATTATTTCTTTGCTGTACTTTGATTCTTGCATCCTATACAGCTTTGTCTTGGGAATGTGCTTTTAGTGAATCATATGCAATGGAATCCCTATCTCAGAATCTGATTTTTAGCAAAAACTGCCTGAGAAAACTGCAAATAAAAAATTAGCAAAGGCTACTGTAGTCAAACAGTTGAATGTTTTGCCTTTAACATTCATTGAAATGTTACTAAAACAACTCAAAATGAAAACAAATTTAAGGCATAAAGAAACAAATTTGATATTAACATGGTGATTAAAATTCAAATCATAACAATCTATACAAACATCATAAAATGGATTTCAGATTTAATTTTTTTATATTTGATTTTGGATAAAACACTCAAAGCACAGACAAATGGGAATTCATCCAGCTAAGATGAAAAGCAAAGCAAAGGAAAACACTATTGCCATGGGGAAAGTGTGAAAATTATTCATTTGAAAAGAGATGTATCCAGAATACACACATAAATAGAAAGCTTAATAACAGCCCCCTCAATAATAAAATTGCATTGTGTACAAATGAAATGAGATGAATGCATACTTTTTAAAGAACCAATGACCAGTTACTTTATAAAACTCAGTGTCTTCAGTCACTAGAAAGGCAAGAATCAAAATGACAGATTATAACCTCATGTCATTGAAAAGACAAGATATTAAAAAAATGCTAAGCCCGGGCAGTGGTGGCGCAAGCCTTTAATCCCAGCACTTGGGAGGCAGAGGCAGGCGAATCTCTGTGAGTTCGAGGCCGGGCTGGACCGACAGCCTCCAAAACAATACAGAGAAACCCTGTTTCGTAAAACCAAAAAGAAAAATGCTAAAAAGAGTGAAGAAAAAACAAAACTGAAAACATTATTGGTGTATAAAATATAGCCACAATGAAGACTAATATGGAAGAACTCAAAGCTCCAAAAACAGTAACAAGGAAATTTAGGAAGCATTAGTTATCCTGATGTGACACAAATACATTGTATAGATGTCCTGAAATTTTATATTCTTCATAAATATCTTCAATTATTACATTAACCAAAAGATATAAAACTTTATGATGACAATGTCAAATAGCCTGGTTTTATTATTATATCCAATTATTATATTGTATTCCCAAATTTTATATTCAAGTAATTAATATATGAAGAAAACCAAATCTTTTGTTTGAAGAACTATCTTTACCTCTGTGCTTCTTTCTGTAGGCGTTCATTTCTTAAATTTCTAATATAATCTCTGTAGTAATCTTTATGTATTTTCTTTTCGAGTTTTTCCAAATCAGTATATTCATAATCAGGATCCATATAGTGATGCCTTGGCATCTTTGTGAAAATTGTTCTACAAGATACACAAGGTGTCATGTTAAAATGCATACATAAATCACACACACACACACACACACACCTGTTTAATCAGCATACGCAGAGTACATTCTGGTCAATTTAAATGTCAAGTGGGTCGCCTTAAATGGTGAGTAGATTAACTGCATATCCTATGATATACAAAGACATCATTGCATGTACAATGAGTTTGAGGGTGAGAATCACCTGTGTAGGCCTGTGTGTGTGTAGGTATGGTGTGTGTTACATACATATATGTGCTTATATCTTTTGAGAATTCATTATGATCAGAATAAGAAACAATAGAGCACACTGAATCTTTTCACTAAACACACTTTTGTTAGATCACATACCTTCTAAGTACCCTTTGCTCTCTCCCAGAAAACAGGATTATGGAAAAAGCTACATGGTACTACGAGACACAGAACTGCTAAGAAATCATCCTGTGCTATAGCCTAACAGAACCTCCCACATTTAGTTGCAAAACAGGTTTATGATGACACCAAAGAGCTTGCCCCAGGGCCAAAGCTGAAGCTAGGATAAGCACAATCACATGATATGAAACTTGTTTATGTGCTGAATGACAGAAACCCTCTTTGCTCTCTGGAACTGAAGGATCTATCTCTCCCATTAAGAAACACAGGGGCTATCTCTTCTAATGGTTTCCCATTTCAAGTCCAGATTCTGGTTGACAGTGATCAGAAGGCTCTCTCTTCTAATAAGCATCATTCAGAAGGGTCAATTCCTATCAGCTCCTTTCTAGGAGCCTGCTGGAGGAGGGACTGTTTTGTTGTTCTAATAACTATTGACTTAAACTCTAGAGTTCACTAAGCACAGAAAAATGTCTCTGTAGCTTGGAGTAAGCACTATTTTTTTTCTAATTAGTAATATACAACCAAATTTATTATGTAACTAGATCGTTTTTCCTATTTATTCAAAGAAAACTTACTGAGCTATCAGTGTTGTATGGTGTATGGTTATTTTCTATCCAGGTATAACATGATCATCCAATCACCGTTTTAGAGTAGAAATTACCTATTCCTGGTAGTCACAACAATTAAATGAACAGAACAGTATAGTGATAGCTTGATCTATAGTTATGGTAATGAAGCTGTTTATATATCCTACTAGTAAAAGGAAAAAGAACAATAGGCCTCAACTTACTTACTTCTGTCCTCCAAATTCAAGTAATCTTGGGAAATGCTAGTGGAAGACTGAATGATATCAGGAATCCATTAGAAAACACATTTTTAAGTGAAGTAGCTATTTTGAGATCATGCACACACTTATTGTTAAGTACCCCTTCACAATGCTCTGAAAATAAGCTCACTGATTTGATCACAAATTTGAACTTTGAATAAATTACTTTGTTCTATGATACTGCCCTATCTGGAATAAACTGATATTTATTCAAGTCTCCCCAGAAAAAGTTAGCCCAACTTTCACCTGTATTTTTGACAATGTTATAAGTAGAAGGGATACTGCTATGAACAAAATTCTCCACCTTATTTTCTTCTCAAAAATTGAAAGGGTTAAATACATAAGAATGAACTAGCAATTATAAATCTTAACAAAAAAATGAATGCACTAGAATAAAATTCCTTTAGCATCTTTTTCAAACACGTAATTGATAACATTACTAGACTTAGTAATGTGAAAAGCTTTTCATTAAAAGAAATAAATATAGCTATTAAATAGTAGGAATAGCTAAGTATATTTCCTTATAATTTTATGATCTAATAAATCAAAAGGTTACTTTTCATATGAATATAGGTTTATAAAAGAGTCAAAACTACTTCCAGAAACCATCAACTCAGGGTATGGAAGGGGATATAATGAGCCAGAAGAATACATACAAATGTATTTTCATAATTTTTAACTGTTTTAAATGTCAGAATGTTTTTTTTATAGTTTTTTGTGGTACTGGCCAAATACAAAGAAAAGAAAAACAGATGTGAGTAGAATTTGTAAATGAAAAATATCAAGAAATTCAGTAAATACCATAAAGCTTTTCCATTGTAGACAGCAAAAATGTTGTCTGTAAAATCAAATGGTAAAGTAGGAAAGTTGATACAAACTTAAATGATCTTAATGACATATCCCAAGATAAAGAGACAAGTAGAAAAAGTAAGTGATATTATTAAGTTTAGGTAGCCTACTATTAGAATATATGTTGACATAAAATAACCCTCATTCACTCTTGGATATATTAAAATCTTTCTTGGATAGAGGTCCAGAAAATGGTATATTTGTCAGTTTTAACTTACCATTGGTAAATTAGTAATCTCTTTGAGGTTATGGTGAATTTAAACTGACATTTCAACATTTCTTATGAAAGTTAAACCTGAGAAGTTTTAGGTCAAGTGGGAAGGAGTTACTAGAAATGTGCCTATGTGGTGATTGACAAGAATGATGACAACAGTAATTGGTTTATTACAATTTAAGTTGTTTTATTCCGATAAATTCAAACTGGCAATTATACTGAATAAATAAATAACTAAATATTCTCAGTCTAATTCCAATAGTGATTATTTCCATCATTTATTTACTGGTGCTCTTAATATACTTTAATATTTTGTATGCCATTCATTGCTTCACAAGTACACAGTAACAGGTATAAATTTAGATAAGGCAAACGCTGTAACATCCAACAGCTATTATATTCCACATACAAAAGAGAGAACATAATTCCATTCTGATTACCATTACCAGCAACTTTCTTTCCTTTTTTAACACCAGGATCTTGTCACTGCATATTATCCTGGATATTATGTCTTTTGAATTTTAATTTATTAATATTACATATTACCTGAACTGTTCATGGTGGTCTCCACACCTGATACTTGCAGCTCTATCATTAGGAAAGGCAATCAGTGCATCCTTCGCTGACACCTCATTTGCGCGATGATTATGAAGGTTTGTGAAGGCTGACTGCAGCATTGCTGCTACAGGGGGACGATCTTCCTTTTTCCTTGAATCTTTGATCACAAATTGTCTTGTGGGATTACTGATCAAGGGGGATATACCTTTAATAATATTAAATATCAAGTTGGTATTTAGTACTTTGTAGTGTACATTCCCAAGAATTAGCCAAGAATTATTTAATGCACTAGACACCTGATGTGATAGCTTGAGTAAGAATGGCCCTCAAAGGCTCATAGATTTAATTAGTGACAGATATTAGAGGTATGGCCTTGGAGCAGGTGTGGCCTTGTTGGAGGAAGTATTTCACTGGGTGTGAGCTTTAGGTTTCAAATGCTGGAGCCAAGTCCAGTGTCTCTCTGTCTCCGTCTGTCTCTCCCTTTTTCTCTCACTCTGTCTCTCTGCCTACCAATTCATATGTAGAACTCTCAGCTCCTTCTCCATCACTATGTCTGCCTGCATTCAATCAGGTTTCCTACCATGATAATAATGGGCTAACCCTCTGAAACTGAAGGAAGCCCCAGTTAAATGCTTTATTGTTTTAAAGTTCTCATGGTCTCTTCACAGAAATAGAACACCAGACAATTGATTTTAGCATGCTAAATTCTCAAAAATTTGAGAAAATTCAAATGACGTAATACAATACATGGACCTACACGAACTACTTTAGCAAACTAATGCTTAACTGTTAATAACATGTATACATAACAATAAGTATGCCGATGTGAATATATAAATTAATACATATGAAAGTAAAAGGTATTTTTAGACTAGTGGTGACTGTAAATCATCAAGTTTATGTGGTACAATTAAAAAAAGATTATATATGACTAGATAAAATTGAAGCACCAAAAAAATCTGGATATAGTCAAAACTGGTTTACATTAACTCCAAAAAACATACAGAAAAAGCACAATATAGCAAACATTAAAAGATTTGAGAAGCTTAATAAAACAACTCAAAATAGTAATACAACATCTACTGGAAATATCACAGAAATGTAAATCTTTGGTATAGACAGAGAACTCCTTAATAATCAAAACTATAATGTAGGCCCAGTATTTGAACAGGCCTTCTAGGTGACTTTGATAGATGCTTTAAAAGGGGGGAAAGAACTGATTTTTACCCTGTTTGATGCATATACTCTTATATTAACAACAACAATCACATCAGAGCTGTGTGAAACTAACTCAATAACATACCAGGATTGATTTTCACCCCAACCTTCTTAGTGTAAGCTTTGCAAGTGCTGTGGAATTCCAAATTTATATAATGAAAAGGTTTCATTGACAAAGACCGTAAACTTTCATCTGCCACTGGACCGATAATCTCAATCACTTGCTTCACTTTAAACACTCCAATTTGATGTGGAACAAATGAGCAGATCACATTCTAAAGAAAAACCAAATGTAATAAATTTAAAAACAAATCTTAAGATACATATTATTTTAACTTCAAACAACATGATTTCAGCATAAAGATTTATAACCACTAATGCAGAAATATTAAACTACACAAAACAGGGATGTCCTATGATATTTTATTGAAAGCGAAATCACTTACATGAAAAGTCAAGAGAGCCGAGAACCAAAGGTTCACACACTGCTCTCCAGGCCAAAACCGAAACCCAAAGAGAAAGTCTCCTCCCCCTAGCTCTTTAGATCTCTCTCTACAAACCACTTTTAGGTAACATAAATGACAAGTCATACAAAGCTCATTACTGGAAATTTAAGAAAATTAAGAACATAATACAATAGTATTACAACAACAATAGATTAAAAATCTCCAAATCTACTTTGCATAAAAAGAAATGACAAAATTCACAAAATTAATGTTTCCTGTTATTTAGAAATTATGTTTGGCTTACAAAAAATAAATATGTCAGCTATCATGGCATTTTGTGTACTATGATGTCATTCATCTAAACTGAGCTTTGTGATCTGCAACTATGGTAGTTGTAACAACAATTAGCATAATATCCAAAGAAGAGAAAAGTGTGGCTTTGAAATACTCCAGAAATCACATTTCCAGCTTTTATACTATTGCTTCTGCCTGGCAACTGTCTGAAAAACATTTAAGGCATATTTTCATTTGATGAGATTCAGAGTACCCTCTGTAGTAACAGTCCTCTGTGAGAAAAAGGAAGAGGAAGGGAGGGAGGAAGGGGAGGGATGGGGGGAGGGAGGGAGGAAAGGAGATTTGAATTTCACAGAACTTGACTTCCTTTGTCATTTAATGTTTAAAGAAACCATTAGAAAATAAACAACCAAATTACTAAGATATTCATGCAGTGTTTTCAAATCTCTGACATTGAAAGAGGAAGTAAATTTAAGGAAGTATAAAAAGAAAGAATGAAAACCAAAGACACTCTTGAGAAAGGGTTACTGGAAATTGCCAGGTGAGAAGCAGCTGCCTACAACTGACATGTAAAAGGATGAATGTTCTAACCTTTGCTCTAAGTATCTGCTTCTGTAAACATGATTGACTGCTGACAGGAATTTCCTGTTACAACCATAGTCACATCAGCACTCTATGGCTTTAATCACAGAAGAGAGTTGACTAAGCACAACAATGATATAATGATTTAGAAATACTATTGTTAGAAACATAAATGTTAAACCTATGTATGACTGCTCAGTCCTACTGAGATTTCTCTCTAACCTAGCATATAAAAAAATTATTCTGACCTTCAACTTAGTCTTTGGTATCTATATGAGAGGAGTGGTGTCCCTGTTACATGTTTTGTGTGTCTGTTTGGTTTTTTTTTGTTTTTGCCATAGCAACATGTTCCTGATAACAAAAATATCAGTGTTATGGTGCACATACCCAAGCAATTTTTAGTTAGCTATAATCGCTCACATCTGGCTGATGAGGAGGAATATTTAAACTTTACAAAAGCTGTAAACTACTTTCAGAACATGGAAGCCAGTTCTCAATGACTATAAATATAGCAGTAGCTAAAGTGAAACGAAACTGATGCTTAATTAGTCTTAGCTCTAGAGCTCTAGGGATGGCCTAAGAGAAAGAGACTCTAGATAATGATCAGACCTTGAGATGGGAGGAAAGAACTGTACAATAAATAGGAGACAAACATGACTAGGTTCCTAAAGAAGCCATTTAAAACCTAGAAAGGAATTTCATAAGAAATGAGGGTAAGAAAGATAGAAAGGAGAGAAAGAGTCTGCACAAAAAGGTGTAGGACATTTGGGTTTGAAAGGTGGCACAAGGTGGCTCACAATCTTCTCTAACTCCAATTCCACAGAATCTGATACTCTCTTGTAAACTCTGCAGACACCAGACATGTTAGTGGTTAACAGATATACATGCATGAAAAAACATGCATACACAGAGAATACAATTAATTTTAATTCAAATTTAAGAAATAGTGATATGGATCACAGAGAAATGCCTTTAGAGAAAATCATCAGGTAAGTATCCAGAAAAAGTCCCAGAGCAAAGAGGGCATTTGCATTTTATAAATTTTAGGGAGCAGCAGGAAGTGTTTTAGTTCATCATGGCTGTCATGACCAGAAGCATGAAAGTATCAGGTACTGGTTAGGATCAAAACTTAGGATCTATAAAACCAACAGCAGTAAATCAATCAATCAATCAATCAATAGGTAAATAAACTTACCTCTCTGTTCCAGGGTTAAATTCAGGGAAGTACGGCATGATCTCTTCAGTATATGGGATCTAGCCTCTTAGAAATGACCACTGAAATGGGCAGAGCCATGATCTAACATAATTGATTCAAAAAACTTAAGGTAACTAAGATAACATAACCTTTGTCCAACTATTTGCTGAACACTAAATTAACTGAAAGGGACTTGACTGACTACATACAACAAAGAAAATTATCAACACAGAATTTGTCTAGAAAGTCACTAAATAACATAACAATGATCAAAGTCACAGTTAACCTTGAAGTGACTTGATTTTCAGCATTTCAAAGAAGTATGCTATTTAAAATGCCAAGTTTTCATTAGAAAATTATTTTGCAACAAAATAAATAGTAAATGTGGCCAACACACCAAAAAGGTACATAATAGAAAATGTCTGGGAGGAAATTCAAATGCTAGACTTACCAAACAATTGTGGTGAGTCAACTATTATAAATATACTGAAAGAACTGAAAAACTCTGAAGAATAAAAGTATGATAACAATGCCTCATAAAAGACAATATCAAGTACTGAAATTATTAAAGAAATAAATATTCCAGATGGTACGGTATTTTAAAGATTCACTAAAAGGAGCTCAATAGCAGATATGAAGTGATAAATGAAATAATGAATGAATTTGATATTTGAGAATACTCAGAATAACTAAGAGAGTTGGTTAAAAATTTGGCAAAAGACAATCTCAAAGTGTTGAGAAGAAGTAGATACAGTTCTGAATGAAAGTGTATTGCTGACGTGAATGAGGCTATGTCAAGGACTCCAATTCCTTAGACCCATGGGAATGCCAAATCCTTCCCCAGGAATAGTAAAATATTCCTTTAGGATAACTGCAACCTAAAACTGCTCTACAATTCTACTCCACCAAAAAGATCCCCTACAGAGATTAGCTAAATCTACCCCCTCACTAGTAAACAAAAAATTCACCTCCTAAATTTGGATGTATAAAATAAACATTCTGAGTTTCTGGGCTACTGCTATGGATTCTCCATCAGAGTACATGGCACACCTAATTCCAGTTTTTTTATATGTATGTCTGTGTGTATATACTTTGTTCATTGCCTCCGTGGGTGGGTCAGACAAAACCAAATCTGTATAGATCACAGTAATAAACATAGCACGAGCGAATGATAAGAGGTTCTAAAGGACAGTTGAAAGAGAATAGAGAAGAATATTTGTAAAAATATAATGAATGAGATGTTTAGAAAGTTTATGGAAAACATCAGTCTATCAACAAAACTCATGATGTATCAGAATGATAGACACATCAGATTCAAACTGTGAAAGTCGCCAGGCAGTGACAGCACACATCTTTAATCCCAGAACTGGGAGGCTGAGGCAGGTAGATCTCTGTGAGGTCGAGGCCAACATTGTGTGCAGAGCAAGTTCCAGAACAGTCAGGGCTATACAGAGAAACTCTGTCTCAACAGAAAAAAAAACAGCAAACATAAAATCTTGAAATCATTAAGACTACTCACTGGAGACAGGAAGGCAACAGTGAATAGATTTCCATACTGAAAAAAATTAGAAACTCAAAATCCTATGACTAACAAAAACTCCCAGTCAAAACTAAAGTATAAATGACGATCTTTCCAAACAAACATCAAAGGAGGGACTATATTGCTAGTAAAATTGCTTTACGACATTACTAAACGAAAACCTCCCATTGAAACAAAAGGACAGTTGAAATTATACAAGTAGTCTTGATGAATCAATTAAGAACAGAGGTAAAGGAAACTATGCATGCTCGTGCGTGCACACACACACACACACACACACAGAACTATAGTTTTATTTCCCGTGTTTTTCTTAATTATTTGGCTTCTAAAGTCTAGAAAAGGGAAAGAAATCAGCCAGAGGGGTCAGAGAACTAGGGAAGGCAATGGGGGAGGGTAATGAATTAGAACAATTAGAACACACATACATATATATGAAGATGTTATGATGAAAGCTGCTATATGTAGTATGATAACCTAAAACACTGATAAAAATCAATGAATAAAAATATAACAATGACTATTCAAGAACATTCATAGGCTTCTACAAAAGAAACATAGTTTGCATTAGAGCAACCTAAGTAGAAGATAGGACAGTTATTCCTAAGCAATGTTTTTCCCATAGCATTAAAATAAGGCCAGTACTAAGTACTTACTATGCTCTGGTAAGTGAAGTTGTTAAATACATCCTCCAAAGAAACAATTAAAATATTAAATATCGAAAATAGAAAAAACAAGGAATCAAAATAATGTAGCAAAATAGCTAAAAAATAAGAAAGTAGTAGATGCAGATCCTACATTACCAGTAGTTTAGTAAAAGCAAATGGATTCTTTCAAAATTTCCCTCACAACTTAAAGTATAGATGACCAATTTTATTACATATTTGTATGTGTGTTATATATAATTGATTAAATCAAGCTAATTAACTTACCCATAATTTTTATGGCAATGGCATTTTAATAGTTTCTTAGCAATTTTGGATGGCATAGTGCATTAAGCTTAGTCACCATACTGTACTAACAGATCTCCTTAATTTATTCATTTTGTATCACTGGAATTTTATAAACCCTTTAACAAAAACCCCATGTTTTTACTGGGGAAATCTCAAGTCTATACTTTGCTTTAGTTAGTTAAGTGTATTTTTCCTGACCAAATAAGCCAGTTTGCATTCCAAATCTAATTGAGATCATGAAAGAGGTCATGCATAGCCTGTCTCTGTA